TTCAATATGAAATGTAACATTCATGATGACACGAGCTTCCACAAATAAGTGCACAGGTAAATAAAAGAAAACTTGATAGAAATCGTGTTTTCTTGATCCTAGCAAAAAAATGTAATTATAAGTATTGAATGCTTCTTTTAGTAATTTTATAGGGTTGTAAAAGCGTTGACCGTGCGCACATTTTAAGAATGAAGCGCGGAAGCGCTTCATACAAAATATACTTCGGTCAACGCTTTTACATCCCAATAAATCTACAAAAAGAAGCATTCAATTCTTAAATGAAGGTTAATTTTTGAATGACACGCGATTGTTGTTAGTCAATCAAATTATAAATTAACGGATTCTCGTTAAACATACACGTAATGTAATTATATGAAGATATTGTCCAGAAAAGGAGTGATCATCATAGATCAAATACATGTATGTACAATGTATTTGCTACTATTAAATGTCCATTCATATCTCTATCAAGTAAATGCTTTTTTGTCTGCTAATAAAATGGAAATAATTTTTTAAACATAGATTCTGTAAAAGCCCTGAAATCTATTTCTGCTGTTTTTATTGAAATTTCTTTCAATAACCTCTACACTGTTCATAACATCGACGTGGAAAATCTACTTGGAATTTAATTGCATAGTCACCAAAATAATCAAACAGAAAGCACGATTTCTTAATAAGTAGATTAGGTACTTTTATTTAGCTGTCAGTAACTGTTTTAGGCTATCTTGACCATGTGTTGTCTTTGTTGTTTGATTTTGTTTGTACGTTTATTTTTCGGAATATTCGGGTTTTTGGTGGTAGGTGTGGTATCTTGTACGGTTCAATATATTTGACAATTTCTTGTATTATATGATAAGAGGCAGGAATGCTTTAAATATACAACTGACACACTATGTGATAGTATTTTAAAAAAGGGTATGAAGCGAAAATACAAAATCAATTTCTTATAATTGTTAGGTTAAGTTTTTTTTTTAATTTATTTTGTATTAATTTGTTTCATTTTGTTTTATTTTTCTGTTTCTTGTCACTGATCTTAAGGAAAACGACTGAGATCTAATAGGTAGGAAAAATGGCACTTTTCACAGAATAAAAAAAAATCTTTTGTACTTATATTCTTAACCATACGTTTGTTCTTTATCCTATATAAATTAAACAGAGACTTTAAAAGATTTGCCATCAAAACCGAATATATTAGAGAGAAAAAAATCAACAAAAAAGCCCAAAACAAAACATTAGAACAGATGCAAAGTTACAATTATATTTTGTCTTTCTATAGATGTTCTCGGCTGCTGACGTGTACCTGAAGCGATTGAAGCAGAGACCACCTCCTCCGGGCTTTGCGCAACTATACAGTACCAAAGACTTGAACAATAGCGCTTTCAAAAATAACGATGGCGCTACCAATTCAAACGGTAAAATTTTGACAAAAGATGAACAGATTCTTTTACAAGCTGTCAAAATGTCTGAAAACTGCCCGCCTGCGTCCCGACCGATGTCAGAGGCAGCCAAAGGATTTTGGGAATTACTCAATCAAAATTTCTCTGCAACTAGAAACCAACAAACCAAAGACACATGCAAAAATGACATAAATACAGATAAGGAAACTTTAAATTATAATTCTTCAAATAATTCAATAGACAATGGAAACAGGTGTAAACATACACATGCAGAAACTGACAATTTATCGATAAACAGTAAAGCCTCTCAGACATATGTTTCTTCGATCAGCATGGACATGGAACAATATGGAAATGTAAAACTGGCACTGCATACGTACAACGATTTTGTAGGCGGAGAACGTTGTGTTGTAAACGTTTTAGAGGATACAGAACAAAATAAGAATTTAGAATCTAATCTTATATGTTTAGACAATACACATGATATCAGACTTATATTTCGCAACAAACCACATAACATACTATCAACACTGGAATTAGCCAGTTGTCGTTTGGACAATTTATTTATGAATGACTTAGAAGATAAACTCTCAAAGATGGGTTATGAATAAAAAACAAAGCAAAATCTAACTCTTAATTTGTTTATTAAAGGTCGTACGGTGGTTGATATATAGTTGAATACATCTTAGTTCTTTTGGTATTTGCTTTGTATTGGTGGATAGCTGTCTCAATGGCAATCATTCCTCATCTCCTTATTTCTATATTTCATAATTATTTTGATTTACTTGATGTTGTCTAACTGTTGTTTTTTTTCGTAAATTCGGACTGTGTCCAGCAGGTTGAACCATTTATACGAAAAGAGGGTGTTGACTTGTACAATACTAACCCTATTGGTAGAGCGGAGTTCATACTGATAGTTTTTTTTTTAAATTGGTTTGTCCGTTTGTCCATCCACTGATTGTGTCTGACACTGCACTTAAATCAGGTATTATATTTCAATGAAAAATGTTAGGAGTGTTGTTGCTTATTTTATCATTCTCTGGAGCGAGATGTTTCCGACATACAGCTGTTAAAGTAGCTTCCTCAGCTACTGTTATAGCGAAGACATTTAAACATTGCATTCCATACTTTGTACCGTATTTGATTTCCTTGTTCAAGTAATTGGTCGTCCTGTTGGTAGCTGTATTGTTCACCTTTTTTTTTTAATCGTGTGCTTTAGTTTTACGAAATATTGTTCAGATAGACAAAGCGGAGCTTTCTGCGAACGTAAAGCTGGTTAAGCCTCATTATATTTTGTGCTTATACCAAGTCGGGCTATATGGATTATTTGTTGTCTGTTGTTGTTGATCTTTATTTGTACGCATCGTTATTTCGGAGGCGTCGGTGTTGATAGTGAATGCATATGATCTGCTGTTTTGTCCTGTATTTTTATTGATTCGTGCTATTTTTATGTATTATGCAATGGAACATTTTCAATCTTCAAAGGAGGAGAATCAAATGTTTTATTGTTGCTTAAGCGATTCCAGAGAAGAGGGATTTATAATGAATGTACCCTTAGAAATCATTTAAATTGTGGATTATAATACACATCTGAGTAGTAGGTACTATCTTAATTAATAACTCTGAAGCACCATTTTGACTGCTGGTTGAATAAAGTCTAGTGGTTAACAAAGAGATTTCGTGGAGCATTGACAGATTCAACAATATAACTAAGTTTGTGAGAACCCTCATTGTTGAAGGCTGCACGGTTGCCTATAATTGCTTACATCCACTTCATTTTAACTTTGATGGATAGTTGTCTCATAGGCAATCATACCACATCTCCTTAGAACACTTAACAACAAACTCAACAATATTAATATAAAAAATAGGTATAACTGTATAAGTGGACCAAAACTAATATCTGCCCTTCATCTCTCCAAGTTGATCTCAGCCATTTTTAGATATCTATTATTTCAAAGGCATGACCCCTAAGGGCAACCCCTTAGTTGCAATGACAAAGTCTTGCCATGGAAAGCAAGAAACTATATATACATGTAGTTTTGGAGTGGACATAATAAAATCAATTACTAGTAATTGACTTTGCCTCGGAGGTCAAAGGTAATGGTCTGAGCTATGGTATCTTCTATGGTACGCTACACATCGTCTTGAGGTGCTGCATAAAGGATTCAAAAGTTTTCTTCCGGACACGAACATGTCTAAAAAGTATTTTGACCTTTAAATCAAAAGTCAAGGTCAAAGGAAGGTCAAGATGATATGCGACACACCGTCTTATGGTAATACACCTCAATGCAAATATCAAAAACTAGTTTCAAACGATAAAATTAACAATGAGACTACTGTTCATAGGCCAAAGAAAGATCACAATTACAGACTATTCCATTTAAATAATAATAAATACTTCATGAGTCCAAAAAAATCGTTTGTAAAGTACAATTTTCAGGAGTTGTCTGAATATCTTAAGAAAGAGTAGTGTTGAATTCGTTAATGATATGTTGTGATAAGAATTTTGATTTTGGTTAACCTATTTTCTTTAATGGGTAGGGATACACGAAACAAATTCCGGAAAAATTTGCTGTCACTGAGACATATATCAAACTTGTTAACTAGACTAGACACACTTTGCTGATGTTCCTATAACAGATGTATATCATTCTATTGTGTGATATTAACAAGCTGATGGTGTTTTTTTTTTATAATTGCGGTTATATAATGATGCATTTTTTTAAATGAGTTCATTGGCCACAGAAAGCAAATATTGTTCGATTAAAACCACAGGGCACGCACCTTTAATATGTACATCATTTGTACCAGTTGATTACTGTCTTCAGATCAAATAAGAGGATACAAGTTACAAACCACCTGGAGACATATATTTTACAATGCAATAATGGACGAAGTAATTAGATTTTATTACCTGAATAATAGATACATATTTGTTTATACATTTATACAGAAATGAAAATAATATCATGGATGGCTATCTCTATTGAAATATGTACTCTGAGGCAATAGTGTTTCAAACAAATGAATGGACTACATCTTAACACTCAAATATTACGGAAATTTGGATTTAAAAAGATTGTATAAGTACGAAGACCTTGTTCACCTGGTAATGTTTTAAAATTTCTTTTCTTCCTGGATGTGTCTATATATATCTAATCCAGAATGAAATGAAAACTGACATTTATGAGATATTTGTTTCGATTTCTAATGGATCAACTTTATTAGGATGGGTTTTAAAATTGTAAAGGATTTTAGTTTGTTGTTGCTTGGATGTTTGTTTATTGGGAAACATTTTCATGTGGTCAGTTGTTGTCAGTTAGACTTTTAAAGTGAATAACAGTAAGCAATTGCTATTAACAACCAATTAAGAAATTGAGAAAATTAATTAATTGAAATAAGACACGCTTTGACCTGAAGAAAATATTCATTTTATGTGATAAATCACTTAGGATTACAATTACATTTGCATACGTATGACATATAATTTCTTTCTACCTCACGAGCATTCAAGTGTCAAAAAGCAAAACAAAATCAATGGTTTTAATTTCTTATGAATTCACTTTCTTGCCAGTCAGTAGAACTTCTAAGCACGGTTCAAGGAAGTTAAAGATACCAGCGTTGAAGGATTACTAAGGACAGTTTGTCTAGCGACATAATTGCCACTATGTCTCAAAACAAACTACAATTGTCATATGCAAGTAGTGAAGATTTGTTAAGTGGCGTCATTAACGCTTACAGGCCGGAACTAACTGTGGACAGGGTGCACGAGGAAGCATTAACATCTTTTAAATCCACTCAAATCACAGAGATTACTGAATCCAGTTTGGACTTTACTGATATTGGAATACCGAACGAGTATACGTTTAATCGGCATCTACAAAACAGTGGAGCCCCAAGAATTACAGAGGAAAAATTAATGTGCGAAATACATGGGAATTGTGAACTGACACATTTTTGCAGGAAATGCCAAGTTCCTGTTTGTCAGTTATGTAGACCATCACTGAAACATAAAGGCCACAGAACGAAACGTATTGGAGTGGCAGTAGTAGAGAGGAAACAAGAGCTGAACGACAAGTATATAAAAATGGAACAAGATAAGATCAAGGCACTTCGTAGAAATCTGGCGTTTGTTGAAAACGAAAAATCCAATGTCCGAACGTCTTGCGACGAAGTTGTTGCAAGGATTCGCCAACGGTGTGCTTATATGAAAAATGTCCTGGATACAATTGCAAATAGTTTTGTTAAAGAGGTCTATTACAAAAAGAAAGACTGCTTACAACAGTACACACATATCAAGAAAGAAATTGAGAGTGAAATAAAAGAAGGTGATTGTGATCTAAATCACATGCTTTATCTATTTGAATTGCCTAACGATCAACAGTTTTTAAAACATTTCAAAGACCTGAAGGAAAAACCAAGTGTAGTTAGAAAAGTTCCAAACATATGGAAGGAATACGTCAAGTTTGATCATGGTCGTCTTTCAGTTCAAGAGTTAAGAGACAAATTTGGCACTGTTAGTTTTGTAGTAGCGACAGATGGTGGAGCGTTTACTTATGAAAGCAAACGACAATATGGACGTCTTTCATGCAGAACTAAAACATCATTTAGATGTGAAAGGAAGAATGTTGAAACTGACGATGACGAACAAGGAGGGTCCATCAACTCGATTGTCAAATTCGGAAATAGTCTTTGGGTAAACTCCGGTCTCAGTTCAAAACATATATCATTGCTTAATGAGAATGGAAAAACAATTCAGTCACTGCCGTTAATGTTCAAAGTAGAAGAAATAACGTGTTCTAAAAACGGGGAGCTAATTATGACTTCATTTCGAGATAAAGTTATCAGAAAAGTTTCTAATACCGGAGTTACAAGCGATTTATTCAATGTACCTTACCACCCTAAAGGTATTACTACAACTAAAGATGGCGGTTATCTCGTATGTATGTGTGAAAGCTATTCCACATCAGTTTGTGAAGACAGTCACCGTCTTGTTGTAAAATACACGTCCGAGGGCGACGAGGAATGTATTTACGAATATAACGGAGAAGAAAAGCTGTTTACACGACCATTTAGAGTAATAGAGAATATAAATGGAGATATATGTGTAATTGATAAAACTGCCATGGGCAGTGGTCAAGTGATAATTGTAGACAGAACAGGACTTGTCAAAACGATATATAGTGCAGATAGACATCAAACAAACAACGGACATATTAATAAAATTGTATCCAGATTTGCTCCCTCTGACATTGCATGTGATAAGAACGGCCGAATTTTTATTGTTGAATCTGATAACCACAAAGTGCACCTATTGAATAAGACAGGAAGTTTAATTGGACATTTTTTAACCAATGAAAGTGACTTTTTCTGCCCACTTTGTATAACAACTGATGAAAATAACCAGATTTGGATAGGAAATGAATATGGTGAAATAAAAATGTTCACGTGTGACTGGCAGTGAAACAATAAAAATGTTCACGTGTGACTGGCAATGAAACAATAAAAATGTTCACGAGTGACTGGCAATGAAACAATAAAAATGTTCACGTGTGACTGGCAATGAAACAATAAAAATGTTCACGTGCGACTGGCAATGAAACAATAAAAATGTTCACGAGTGACTGGCAATGAAACAATAAAAATGTTCACGTTTGACTGGCAATGAAATAATAAAAATGTTCATGTGTGACTGGCAATGAAACAATAAAAATGTTCACGAGTGACTGGCAATGAAACAATAAAAATGTTCACGTGTGACTGGCAATGAAACAATAAAAATGTTCATGTGTGACTGGCAATGAAACAAATGAATGAATGAATATTTTTTTTTAGATGTATATATATTATTTGGAAGACTATTGATAGATGATCTTTACACACATAACCAGCTTGCTGTGCTTTGACTATAAACTGGGAAATTTTTGTGTACGTTTTCGCTTAAATGATTACTATTTTGTTTGTTAAGTCAAACTTATAAAAATGACAAATTTAAAATAAACCAATAAATAAACTGATCAATGGTTTTCAGATTTGTTAACGACACTAGTACTAACAAGATGAAAGATACATTTCTGATATGTTTAGTCAAAATACGAGGACAATATCTGGTTAAAATAACCAGCCTAAGCTAGCATTAGATTGCTTGCAACAACATCATGATAAATTAAATGAACAAAAAATAAACTAGAGCGTTATTCATATTGCCCCGTAGACCTTGTAGGCAAATGTTTTGTTTTTGAGACCGTTAAACACTCTGTAAACTATATCCTCTATCGCTATAATCATCTGAAAACAATTAAAGTTTGACTCGTGATGGCAACCATACATCTTTGTAACGCATGCTATGGAACGCGAAATACCTCAGGAATTAACTTATTGAAGAAAATTTCTGATTTTACATTTTGGAGTATTGAGACTTTATTCATAAAAAAAGGGGGGGATTTTCCAGTTTTCCACTAAATAATATGTACCACAATTAGATGTTATTGGTCAAACTGTACAATGAGCTTCACAAGTTTCCTATCATCTGCAACCAATTTCACCTGGATAGATGCAAGCCCGATGAAGCTTGGTGGTCTAGCAAAATATTGCGTTTACTTTTTATCATATCGTTTGATTTTGAATTATACATACGAAAAACAATATTGACAACAAAACGTAAATTTCAATCTGGTATGGCAGGAATGAGAATATTTTTTTTTCGTTTCCGAATATCTCAAATTAAGGCACAAACAAGTTAATTACATGACGGGATTCTGATAAGTGCTCAGTATTATTTATGGTTATCCATTTCAATAAATACTTGAGAATGAGTGAGACACATAAAGATTCATTCAACTAAGGAGGTTTTTCATTTAATTGATTTTGAAATTTCCCTATTCCTAGTGCAATAGTTAAGTTGACCAAGTTTATATTTTAAGCAATGTTATTATGCCTATATGTGTCAGGAAGTTCACAATGCACCAATCATTGCCTTAAATTATTAATATAATTGTTTCCTTGTCATTAATATATGATGGCTCTAAATGGATGGATTTTAACTTGTGTAATATTTCTTTCATTCAATATAATTTACTCCAAGACTTGTAGCAGAAAAAGAAGGTAATTGTTTTATTTTGTAGTAAGTAATAACTTTGTAAATAGTAATAAATTCTTTGATTTATATCATTTTGTTTTCAAACTTGTAAAGACAGTTAAATCCATTTTAGACAAAGTATAATGTATTGACAGGTATAACGAAATTTTCTAAAATTTTGTATACATTTAAAAGAACTCGCCTTTATACTTCCAGAAATATATATTCAATTGATATTTGGGAAAATAGGTATATAAATGTATAGAAAATAAGTATTTTTCATATCAAATTATGATTTCTCGAAAACCGTCCACAGAATTTTGTTTAAATATGGTATATTTCCAGTCGACCACACCAATATAATATGATTTTTTATCTACTTTTACTATATAATTTTCTGATCTATATTCTTTATATTTTTAATTTATATTGACGTCACTATTTCTATCTTTATTAGTTTTGGGTCTGGAGGAACAACAATATATGCAGTAGAATATTATTGTTGCGCTAATTCATATTCAAAGAATGGAACATGTAGAAGTATGTATTTATATCAAGATATAAAACTTTGTTATATTTGAAAACGGTGGTGAAAATATAACCAAAGTTTGGAATAATGAAGTTTGTGCATCACTGATCAAAATATATCTTAATGTCCAATGTTTTTACATACTGCTAATGTCTTTTGTCTGTCGCCTGATATTATTGCTACTTAATTGTTTTCATAAAGAAATTAAAGTTTAAAGAATAGTTAAACTTAAACTCTTGTATCACATTTCATTGTTAAGTTCTGACATGAATAGAAATTTAATTCTGATTTTTCAAAATCATCACAGTTCAGGGGGTTCTTATGTCAGACATGTAATTTTGTTATTATACAAACATAACTTAAGAAATACTGCGAATTTGACCTTTCCTATAGTGATCAAGGCATAAAATAGGAATCCATGATAACAAAAAATGATGATGGGTCTATGTTACGTCCAGCAGCACATTAAATGAATATTCAGGACGAGAACTTGTAAACATTTAAGATATAAAAATGAACCCTATTTTGTACTAGACGAACAAGCTGAACCGATATCGATGTATTTACGTTATAGTTCACAGGGTAACACTCCGCAGGAAGACATGTCACCCTACCATGACAACACGCTAAACAGAAAACTAACCATTGAGCAATATGGAATTCCAAACTAGTAATCAACTAGTATGACTTGTGACAAAAATGTAAACATATAACAACCATAGAAAAAAGAAACTCAAAATTGTAGGTACAGATCACCAGAAAGTCAAATTAAACAGCTGATGCTACTTGAATAGCTATTATAGGTCTACTATCCGCCTGCATCCCTATCCACAGCTATTCATTAAATTGCATATCACAGCTTTGTGACGTCAAACATGCTTGTGCCCTAATTATCAGAGCCGTTTTAATGTTTAACCTGATGTTGATAAGTTTAGTCGGAACCTATCAATTCATTTTCTGGATTGAAGGTAAAAAGACTTTTCTTACTATCCTGAAAAAAACTTACAAATTCAACCCTATAGATCGATTATTGGAGCCTCAGTGGCCGAGTGGTCATTGTCTTTCATCTACTGTATCACTAGCCTGTCACTGTGAGATTATGAATTCGAATCCTGTACGTGACAGGTGCGTTGGACTCCAATCATATTGACGCAATATGAAGCATTTTACACTGCGCTCACTAGACAAAAAGCTTTATATTATTCATCGCAGCTGATATTTTACAGTTTTGATATGCAGAAATGCTGATAAAAATACCTATAAAGAGTTTACAAGCATCAAAACCGAAACGAACTTTAAATGAAAGCAATATGACAAAAACAAAACTGAAAAAGTCAACTTTGGCTGTTGCAGTTAAAATATCTAATATTATATTAGGTACCACAATACATTTTATGAATTAAGTTCACTTTCAAAATGCACCAGTCAACGAGAAGTTATGGGAAAAGATACTGTCCGAAGGACGAACTGAAACAAATGATCACAACATACCTACGATTTATTGAGCATGAAGTTTCATAATGATGATAAAATTAAAACTTGTTTCAGAGTGTAACCGAGCGCATCGATTTCAATCCGGGCGCACGTCAGAAAATAAGTTTCACGCGAAACAAAACCTATAAAACATTGAAAGGCACCAACAGCTCTTCAATCGAAAAAATAATTGTATTATCGAAACTCGTGGAAACAGGTTTATCAGAAGAATAATGTTATAGTTATTATGTTAAATCGATATTTAAATGTATACAATTTTTAATTTTTTTTAAGTATGTCCAGTTGGTTATACTACAAACCAAGATGGAACAGATTGTGACCCATGTCCAGATGGCCAATACGGTAACAGGTGTGCGGATGAATGTTTTTGTAAACAAGATGAACGGTAATTTTAGATGCACTTTTTAAAATATTTAGAATAAGAATAAGTATCGAATCGTCAGAAAAGAAAAGAGCAATTTCTAAAATTGAAACCAGCAGGACAATCAAACTAAAATTAGACGAAGGAAGGACAACACAATGACCAATAGAAAGACAATATTAGCACAAAGAATTACTCAAACTGCATTGTATATCATACTACATCAAATCTAGTTCATGCTTATGGTGCTATCACTATATTTATTTACTATTACAAAATAGGAAGAACTACATAATGAAGTTCTACTGAAACTGGATAGATAGTACATAAGTTATATGAACTAAGATTTTTATTTCAGACATTGGCCAATCGTTACTAGCTAAAATTTTAATTTACTTCTTAACTTTCATTTTAAACTACAGACATGCAATTTCTGAAGACAATGATATTGACTAAGGTTTCAAAGGTCCGTGGTAAACATTATCTAAGTCCTTATTAAAGCACCGCTGTCATTTTATTTTAAAATCTGTATAAATAGTATTTTTTATTGATTATTCAGATGTAATAACATTCTTGGGTGTGTATCAGAGGACACAACAGTGACGGCGGTTAATCAGACAGGTAATGTACTCCTCGATATTTAACGTATTTTGTGTTTTGAGATGTATATTGCCTTTCTTAGATATAGGATATTGAATCAATGATTTTAGAAATGTCATGCTCACATAAAGCAAATTATTTGAGATTAATGTACACCTTTCTGAGTACCAGGCCATTCAAACTAAAGTAAAACAAGATACCAAATTTATATTTATATACGATTTAATTCCGGAAGTGAGACATTTTCTAAACGATGGTCCCCCCTCAATTTGTAACAGGAAAAAGTAATAGGTTTATGAACGTTAGACGTTCAGCGGAATATATAACACATATATAGAAGACAAGAACGAGTTTATGTGATATGCATATATACCCCATTTTCTACATGACTGACATGTCGAGGCGACTAGTCGCTGATTTTAGTTTTAGTGCCACATGCTAATCTGAGAGACAGCAAATATTAAAATTTTAAGTATTTATTGTGAGCCAGGGGGGATATAGAAAACACCACACCCGCACTCGCGACAAGCATGCAACAACGAAACCGTCGAACCACTGTACCGAATGAATAAAAAAAGGTAATTAAATTCAAATCTGAATAAATACCGGGAGAGCAAAAAAACCTACAACAGTATAAAGACAAAGTGGGTTACCTCGCCTAAGGGCAACGTTTTCTGAGGAAGTAAGAACTTACATTGAATGGTCATAAAATTTCTCGCTGAACATATTAGATCGAATGCACTAGTTTGGAACTCTGATAACTTGTATAAAGAAACACATTTTAAAATCATCTACGATCTTCGATTTGTTTTTACCTGATTCATATAACTAAAGCTTCGAATTCCTATTCTGACATCGGACTCGGACTTCTCTTATACTGAGTTTGACTGTGCGTACATTGGCTAGAGGTATAGGGGGAGGGTTAAGATCTCAAAAAACATGTTTAACCCCGCCGCATTTTTGCGCCTGTCCCAAGTCAGGAGCCTCTGGCCTTTGTTAGTCTTGTATCATTTTTAATTTAGTTTCCTGTGTATAATTTGGAGTTAAGTATGACGTCCATTATCACTGAACTAGTATACATATTTGTTTAGGGGCCAGCTGAAGGACGCCTCCGGGTGCGGGAGTTTCTCGCTGCATTGAAGACCCATTGGTGGCCTTCGGCTGTTGTCTGCTCTATGGTCGGGTTGTTGTCTCTTTGACACATTCCCCATTTCCATTCTCAATTTTATAAATATGATTGGTCGTTAAATTATTCATTATAAACCTAAGGAGACGTTTTACGATTGCCGATAAAACAACTATCCACTAGAGTCAAAATTACTTTGACATACGCAGCTAAAGGTCACTTCGCTCCCAGCATTTAACAATGAATTGAATTGTTAATCCATTCCAATAAATGGAAGGAATAAGGCATTTTTGAAATCTTATATAGAATTTCCAATTGAATTATAAAATATAGGCTTGCTTATTTTCAGATCACAGCAAATTGTTGGGATTTTCAAGGAAAAACTTTCGAATCGCCGTCTACTCCGGATGTTCTGGACTTGTGTTTGTAATTCTCTGCATTTTGGTAGGATACGGATGTTACATCAAGGGAAATCAACATGCTGTTAGTGTTGGTTTATCTACTTTGGCCGATAACAACGTTATCCAAAACAGAATACAACTACCTTTACAACACTCTTCGCATGAAGCAGAAGAAAATAGAACAAACAATGATGAAACCGAGGAGATCACTTTCTATACAGAGAAACCTGATATGTTGATTGAAGATAAAGAAAATGAAAGAAAGGAATATTGGAACAAGAACAACGAGGAAGGTACCTGTGATAGTTACCTTATCCCTTACGAAACAGCAGAAACAGATGGTGATGAATTTAGCTGTTTTCCGGATGAGAATGAACAACCAACAGTTCATAGAGATGAACCCTCTGATCCTAGATATCTCAACAGTTATCAACCACTAAATCATCAACCTCTACAACATCTTTATACTGAGTTACAATAGAAAAATAAAACAACAATCATAGTTCCTTCTCAGAACTTAACATAGTAAAGATATAACCCGTTCGAGCAAGGGCATTGACTAAATGAACGCTTGTTACCATGGAAATCTTATCATTTCTTTTCCCCTAATGTTGTATGATCTGCATGACATGTATATCATTACAACCTTGCATCTTTTACCATTTGACACCAATAACGGAAGTACAATCAATCATGCCAAAACCTCCATGTCAGGATTAATGACAAATTGACAAATTTTCAACTTGTTTCTTTATTATCCTTTTTTGACGTCATGTCAATTGGGTACAGATGCGCAGTTCTGTTATTGTAGCCTTTTCCTCAATTCCTGTGCTCATATCGTAAACTTGGATATGTTTGAATGCTCGTTTTGAAACTGAAACATTTTCACATATGTGGTTATATTTTCGGGGTACGAAGTGAGATTCGTTTTTCCATAATTTAGCAAACCCCGAAAAGTCTTCTGTGATGCGGCTTCTCGAGGTAAAAAATCCCCTTTTTCTCACAATAAGTTCTTTGAAAATTTAGTTCCTTGCATACATTTAATAACTTCATAGTTTTTACACCTTTATTCTATGGTCCTCTGCTCTACAAATCAGCACAAATGGTAAAGCTCAGTCACTTGTTAAAAATTGGAATATGTCCAATATCACTACACAGAGATTTTTTTTACGCACTACTTTTGTGTTCCTCAATTTGAGGTGCATTAGTTATATTGACCCAGTTGGGTTGCTATGTTTATTTCTGATGTAGATTATTTGACTTGCTGAAAACGTATCGATTACAGATGAATGAAAAATTTGAAATTTCTCAAAGGAATTAATAATACCTGGTTAATTATTGTCTCTTTGATTGTTGTTGTTGTGCTGATCAATATCCTTTAAAACAGAATACTAGTATAAAAAAGGAGAGTTCCCAGAGTTATATCATCAACAGACCCTTTCGCTGCTCATGAGCCATTTTTCAAACCATTAAACTGGAAGACGCGTTAAAAGAGAATGAGATATTACAAGTTTGTGTTGAAGTGTATCAAAATCGATGCCGTTTCTATCTTTCTAGTAAACTTTATTGTGTTTCAGACAATAACAGAAATGCCGTTCAAGGATATTGTTCATTAACCAAAAAAATAATTGTTCCATAACCATGATAATCAAATGTTTGATTGCTAAAAAATTGTTTTTGTGTTCCTGACTATCAATCAACGTCTGTTAGAAATAATAAAAATTATGAATTTGTGTTCGTAAGCATCGACTTATATATGTTTTAAGATTTAACATTGGATCTAATGGCAAAACCTCTCAATCAGAAATGTTTCCTTCTGCCTTCAAGAAAATAGCCATATACCGCACCCTTCTCCCTCTCAAAGTTAAATAGTCAAAAGGTCGTTCCCTTATTGAAATTAATCAGCTATTAACAATTCTAACAATAATTGTTTGATTTTTTCATTATTATACTTTTTTTACTTTATTTGCCATGTCCATGTGCATTGTATGCATATTTATAATTCAAATAAGGTTTTAGTTTTTGTATCAGGATGGACCCCGGGAAGATTACTAAATGTGTACCTTCTTAAAACAGATAAGTGTTGTTGATGTTGTTGTTTTATATGCCCAATAATAACTTAATTAATATAAAAGGACCACAAGTTGTATATGCGAGATATGAATTACTGCAGCATGCGTTTTCATCGGTAATATATGTAGCGATAATCAATGAGCATGAATGTTACCACAAAAAATTGCCTTGTACTTTGACAGCTTTTGGGTAATCGTTGGACATCTTCCTCTTATATACCCATATAAAACCAGTATAAAAATAATTTCAGTAACTACTCTGAAGAAGATCATGAATAATAGTGCTATGACTTATACAAAAATCTGATTCTTTGTCCTGGTTTGGCTTTACATTTGACGTTTGTATTAGGTTGTGAATTTTCAATTATGTTGTCATCATACATTACCGAAGAGACACTACTTGTCGAAATGCGCATCTGGTGCAGTGAATGACATTGTACACCCACCCTATATCCATTCATTTCCAGTGTAAAAACAAACTAAAAATCATACTAATTGAAAGATGAATTCATTTTAGGATATATGTATAGCTAAATAAACTCATGTATTTAAATAATTTTATAAATCATGTCAGTATCGAATCACTGACAACTATACAGATTGTTTATACAAAGACTAGCAGACCACTAGCAACGATGTCGACTTGGTGCTATGAATTCAAATGAAACTTTATAAATTTGATGCGTTCATTAGGAACGATCAAACACAAAACAATTAAAAGCCCCAGCAGCCGGTTGTACGAACGTGGTATTAGCCTAATGGGTCATTAAGTCCTCATTAAGCCTTTATGATGCATTAGGCTAATGCAGACTTAATGACTCATTAGACTAATGACACGTTCGTACAACCGGCTGCATACGAATTTCTTAATAATTTCTAAATTTATAAACGGAAAATTAAAAAAAAATATGTAATCAATCTAAAAAGACTATAATCTTTCTTAAAAGACTCTTGAAAAACGTATAGTGGGCTATAAAAAGCCCCGACATGAAAAATGTGAAATAATTCAAAACTAATTGCCTAATTTATAACAAAACAATTTACGCAAAACAAATATGACGGACACGAACAAACAACAACCTCTGTACTACAGACTCCCGACTTGGGACAGACACAAAAGAAAGTGGCGGGATTAAACGTGTTTGTTAGCGCCAAACCCTCCTCCTAACCGTGGACGTTGGTGTATCAACACAACTTTAGAACCTTAAGATTGTCAAACTAACTTGAAATATCATGATTTCGTTTTGTGCGAAGTACCTGCTTATTAGGTGCGTTTGTGTAAAAAAGACGTAGCGCAAACGGGAACTAGAATACAAGTAATGTAGTTTTTCATTGTTTGTTTATTCACTTTCTCAAATACAAACCAGTCAGTTATCTAAACATAATTTGTTTTTCAACACAAAAATAGTAATGTATTACCATATAACTAAAACCTTATGTAATATCATATGAATGCTTATAAAACAAGTTTATCATCACAATCAAAGCGTATATTCATTTATATGTTAAATACCACATATCATCGATATTTACAATAATAGATGTATTATCATGATTATAGGCAATATCTATGTGGTTAAAATTTCGCTCTCAATGACAAAATAAATCAACTTTAGTACTAAAACAATGATCACGAGCAATATCAACTGATTTTCGTCCATCATTATCAATCGTGTTAATATTCGTATCGTTGATCAATTATAGCGAATATCCGACGTTTTGATGCGCTGTCAAACATGCCTTATGTTACGGAATCTTACCAGCATTATCCTGGTGATTAACACTTGTTTATTCTAATCCGTTCAAACAAGACACATACTCCCTATAACCCAATTTTTTCACGACGTTAACAGCTATCTGATGTTTGTCTCCTTTCAAACGTTCCTTTAGATTAGTTACCAAATAATCACGAAATAATTTCCGGAATTTTGGTAAAGTGTGTTGGAAGCTTGAGAAAACAATTTCGGATTTTCCATTCTGTAGATCAGTCAGCAATCTTAGGAAAAATCTTAATTTTGATACTTCGGGGACCAAAATGTAAAATTTTGAAATATTTTCACCAGTTAATGTGAGCCGCACCCTCTCTTTTATCAGTGAGCTCTTGCCATGATCCAGAATAATATTTAATATATCTGGACCTACACAATGTGCAATCATTATGAACAGCTTTTCATGAAGACATTCAAACGAAGATTCATTGTCTAAGACATACAAGTCTTCCAACGCAGAAAAACACGACAACAGTACTGATTTTGATGGCCTTCCTGTATAACCGGAGATATCGGAGAGATTAAATAAATTCTCTAATACTCTATTGCATTCGTCGTTGTATGGATTAAGTACTATTTTGTCAACTTCATTTCCACGAATAACAAGAAAAGCCAACGCCAGGTACAAAGGATCATCTGCTGTTCGAAACTGCTTTATTTCTTCTGCTATATAATGGTAAGGAAATGTAAAATATTCGATCATATCGACATCATTCTGAACCTCATGAAATTTGGAACAAAGCGACGGGAAAAAATTGTACAACATAATCACTTCATTACTTATTCTATCTATATTTTCTGTTTCTGAATTAATACACCCCTTTCCAATGGTTTGTCTCTCCTCAAGGGTCAGTTTCAGATCATCCGATAACAAATTTACATGACAAAATGGTTCGATCGTCTCAATTGAAGTTACTGACCGATATATGTATGATCTACAGGTCATAACTACTTTTAAATCTATATTTCCTTTAAGGATATCTTTGATGGAACAACCCTGTTGAGACCACCAAATGATATGGTTCTGACTGACAGTATACCTTCCAAAAGCATCATCGATCAAAAAAATCTGCTTAGTATCTGCTGAAGAATATTTCAAAATATCACCTGGATCTGTAATTATCCATAAATCGTATTTCTCAAGGTTCAAAGCTGCGTGAAATGTGGAAGAAGATTTTCCACAACCAGCTGGTCCGGAAACAATCACAAACTGCTCTTGCCTAATTCTATTTAATATAACAGTAAATGCCGCTGTTTCAAAAAAATCATTAAATTGTATTTTCCACTCTTTTTTCCTTTTGATCTGCAAATCTAAAACAAATTATATCTATATGAAGTAGAGTAGAGTAGCATATGTTAAGTATATAATTTCACAAAGCAAATTAAACCAAACAATGTTAGTATTTAAAACGATGATTTATCAGATATGTTCCAGAAAAATGAAACATGTTTGTATTGCTTAATGGATGACCACATGATGTTCGGGCTGCAGAATTTTTAATTAGGTGATCGGTATCATATTTAATATAATGGTTTAATTGCCATTAAAAAATACAGCTTACTTCAATTATAATCAAAAATTGCTGTGTTTCATTTTACATTTGCATCGATGGTATTAAAACGCTGTATTATTCATTCGCCATTAAACGGTTAAGCTGGCAATTATTGTTTTGTAAATCTTAAACTCAAATGTTTTTTTTCCAACCTGTTAGACAATTTTTGAATGACCTCAACTTAAACCTTCAAAATAAACATAATCACGGAAAATTCTTGCTATAAAAGAAGACCGTAATTTAGAAATGTCATGTCACAAAAACCTTGTAACATATAATCTGGGTTTTTTTTTATACACTATGTTCATTGAAATCTTTAAGCAACTAGCTTCGATCGTACCAAGATGATACTTTTACTATAAAAATGCACGTTGGTCATTCTGGAATTATGTTTTATGCTCTACAAACTTTTATAGTAATACATAGTAATTAGTAATATGCATCAATAAATGAAACATATCAAATGCAGTTGTTTTAAAATTTATTTGTAAAATGTATGACTATGCAGTTTAAAAATACCTCGCGCACCATTTTACAAAGTAAGAAAAAAATATTTTAAATATCACAGAAAATGTATTCGGACGTGTTGTAATCTTCACATCCAGAGAACTAAAAGTTGGATTAGTCTTATTAAAAACTTGATGGATTTACCCGGTATTGATTGTTGCTATGCATATTGAGGACGAAAACAAAATTGCAATTATTACACTAGGTATGGTTTGCAAGGTAGGTCAACCAAGAATTTGAAACTATCAGGGAAAATTAAGGTATGCTAGATGGAGTCATAAATGTTGCCTTGTAACTGGCCACCTACATGAACGTACCCGTCAGAGAAACTGACAAGTCAGTTATTTAAAACACAACACATTTATAAAGTGTTAATTTATATATACTAACGTTCGTTTAATATTCCAGTCCTTCCTGAATTTAGTGTTTTAATAAATTCTTGGAAAACACCTTAAAAATCCACATCTTAAAATGATGTAAAGAGTAATATTTGTGGTATAAAATAAAAAAAAACTTATTTAAAGAATAACCCATGTGGAGAAAACAAAGTTATTTTCACTCATCTACTTCTTAAAATTGTCTTATTGATATAGATTGTTATATTAAGACAAATTACTTGAATTATCCTCTTAAATTTAATTATGAATTTCTATTTTTGTTGGACCAAGTGTCTCAATTGTGTCAACAATTATGCAAGTAACCACCCTCCATTAAATTGTAAAATGAACCTTCAATGAATATTGGAAATAAATGATTGATAACTAATAGAGATAAAAGGGCAATACATACGACTAACTTTTTCTTGCTTCTAGATCGTTAAAAGTGTAACAAAAATATGTTTTAAAAAGAACCTAAACATATGACTATTTGCGATTAAGCTGATAGTAACTTATATATTATGACTAACTACCTAGTATATCCTTTGGAATCTGGTTTTGTGACGAACAAATAACTCCCATACCTGAAATTAAAAAAATAAAACTGGTTTGTCCCTGTATATAAAAAAAAGTAAAATCACAAAAATACTGAACTCCGAGGAAAATTCAATCGGAAAGTCCCTAATCACATGGCAAAATCAAATGACAAAACACATCAAACGAATGGACAACAACTGTCATATTCCTGACTTGGTACAGGCATTTTCAAATGTAGAAAATGGTGGATTGAACCTGGTTTTATAGCGCTAAACCTCTCACTTGTACGACAGTCTTATCAAATTTCGTTATATTTACAACGATGCGTGAACAAAACAGACATTATAAATAAAATAGTCAAAATATGGGTACAGCAGTCATCAATGTGTTACAATATCAAAACAAACAATTATTTACAAAAAAATATATATGATACATGTACAAAATAAATCTTTTACATATATGAGCTGTACATAATTGAATTAGATTACTAAGGGTATATTCTCCATCTGGAGGTGTTCCTACTTACAGAAGGCTTATACACAAAAGAAGAAGCATAGGATTTGCATAATAAAAACCTCGTGAATAGGACTGTGGCATCATAACACTTTTTTCCACAGCATGCATTCAGTTTCAGCTATTGGTGTATAACATAGCATGAATAAATGCCATGAAAATCTCCGAACTAAAATCCTTAATTCAGTTCGAACATGAACTCAAATATTCCAGGGGCGGATCCAGAACCTCGATGTCTAGGGGAGGGAGGGAGGGGGGGGGGGCTCCATGAAATTAAAATTAGATAAATTGTATGTCTAGATATGTATAAATGCGAGCGTGGGTTGGGTTTAGGTGGTGACGGTGGTTGAAGGGGAGGGGGAGAGGGAGGGGGATCGGGTCTTCATTTTTGTATTTCTATATCCTTTAATTTTTTTTTACCATTTCACTCTATTCTGATTTTTCTGTCCATTGTGTTCTATTCTTTACTGTCCTTCGCCCCTTTATTCTGTTTTCTACATTTTCTGTCTCGTTTTTTTCTTCTTCTCCCTTATCTGAAAACCCCTTTCATACCCTCATACATGGTTATCTATTCATACACACAGAAGAAGAAGTATACTTAACAACAAAATTATTTTCATTTACCTGTGTATAATATGACGCAGTTTCAAAAGTGATGATTTTCTAAAAATTGTTTGAAATTTCACAGTGATATCATACTTTAACTTTGTTTAAACCTGTTTATTTACTTTTGACTTTAAGTATTAATCCCTTGTAATTTTTTATTAACTGTGTATTTGCATTCAGGTGTCACAGGTCAAATTTATTCGTTCATTGTGTGTTAATTTACGTTTTTTGATTGAGTTAAGCCTTCCAATTGATATTTTATAGTGTGTTTTTCTATGTTGTGATGTTATATTATTGTTTCAGAAAAGGGAGAAGGTTTGGTACCATTAAAACGTTTAATCCCGCTGCAAATGTTTGCACCTGTCCTAAGTCAGGAATCTGATTACAGTAGTTGTCGTCTGTTTATGTAGTTCATACGTGTTTCTCGTTTCTCGTTTTTATATAGATTAGACCGCTGGTTTTTCCGTTTGAATGGTTTTACACTAGTAATTTTTTGGGGCCCTTTATAGCTTGCTGTTCGGTCTGAGCCATTGCTCCGTGTTGAAGGCCGTACCTTGACCTATAATGGTTTACTTTTATAAATTGTAACTTGGATGGAGAGTTGTCTCATCGGCACTCATACCACATCTTCCTATATCTATATCCTTATACATGGTAATTGAAACAAGAAAATTATACATATATTACTGTATTATGTTATAAAGTAGATCTTATAAAAATACAATATCATTTTATATAATTGGCGCTCAGTTTAAAAAAAAAATGTTCCTGTATGTTATTGAAAAGAATAGTTTGTTGTTGAATAAAGTCCGAAAAAAAACTGTTCCGACAGAATAAAGCATTCCCAAGAAACCGTAAAACCGTAATGTAAAAATAAGAAGATGTGATATGATTGCCAATGAAACAACTCTCCATAAGAGACCAAATGACACAGAAATTAACAACAATAGTTCACCGTACGGCCTTCAACAATGAGCAAAGCCAATACCGCATAGTCAGCTATAAAAGGTCCCAAAATGACAAATGTAAAACAATTCAAACGAGAAAACTAACGACCTAATTTATGTACAAAATAATGAACGAAAAACAAATATGTTACACAGCAACAAACGACAACCACTGAATTACAGGCTCCTGACTTGGGACAGGCACATACAGAATGTGGCGAGGTTAAACTCGTTTGAAGGCGCCAACCCTCCATCTAATCTGGGATAGTGGTGTAACAGTACAACATAAGAACAAACTATAAAAATCAGGTGAAAAAGGCTTAACTCATCAGATGGAGACAAAAAGAAATACATCTAACAAAAACACAAAGTGGACGTGGACGGTTACTTATGCAACCACACAACAGAAAGACAGTAAGTACAGATCTGAGAGTACTCGCAGTTACTGACAGCTAGTTCAAAGCCAATAACAACTAATGACAAAAATCATGCATTTATTGCCTCATTCACACGTACATTTAATTCGAATTGAATTCGAATCGAATGCGAATCGAATTCGCTAATCGCGTTAACACACTCATTTTTTTTTATTCGAATCGAATTCGAATTGGCTAATTCGCATTATCCAATTTGCACTAGAAATGTGTTTAATTTAATGCGAAAAAGTTAATTCGCTTCAATTCGAATTAAACTGTGATGTGGACACTTTTTAAATTGTAATTCGAATTACCAGAATATGTGCTGGGACGGACAAATTAAAGGAATATTATCATTATTTCTCGATTCTTTAAAATTAAAAACGTATTATTTGTGACGTCATATGCAACGTCATTACTGTCTAACGGACGTTTCAACATCAGTATCACAATGTTTTCATATCTGAGTATCTGCGAGACCGAATTATCAAGATAGGGGTCTTCTGTTGTTGGAAATTGATTTTGAATATTGAAAGAACATCAAAGTTCCATGCATATAAAATTAGTTGCGCCGGACGCGCGTTTCGTCCATAAAAGACTCACCAGCGACGCTCTTGCCAAAACATTTGAAATAGAAGAGCATTGGAGAAAGGGGCAGATAATGTTTGTAATTTTCGCAAAATGTTCATATGTTTAATTAGTTTGCATGAATTGATGTAAACAGAGACTATACAATAAAATGTGCCCACAATACCTAGGTGAGACATTTTAATTTATTTTCAATGAATCTCATTCATATCGTTAGCTGATTGGTACTATCATCATTACGACGACGAGGGGGTTTTATAACGACTCATGAAGGTGTTGCATCATGGTCGGTTTTAATCGTTAAAATATCTGAAAAGTACTATATGAAAATCACAAATTAAATCCAGTTGGTATTTGGTGCTATAGAGAGAGTGCAAAATTAAACATTTTACTGATAAAAGTCACTTAAAAGAGCTCCGTGTGACATCAAGTATGTAATGATCGATCAACGCCATAAAATCATTTCACAAAAATATCGTGGAAAGTCCATTAAAGGTTTCAATTCACTTTACACCATCTCCGTTACGTTGTTGTTTATTATGGGGGTGGGGGTTACTTTGCGTAATCTTATATAAACATCTTTATTTTAGGATGGTTTTTAAATTCTTTAATGCAAAAACGAGCTGAAAGAATCGCGCAGTTAAAAAAAAAAAAAAAAAATTACAGCCTTTTGAGATCTTGCCTTTTACTTCAAATTTGATCCCATTACCTTCCATAAAAATCAATTGGTCATTCCATAAAGTTTTTTAAGAAGTGATAAATCTGGGGGAAATTTCAAAGATAAATCAAAAGATTTTTTTTTTTCGTTTTAAACAATGGTTCGTGCAAAATAACAGGAAAAACATGTTCTTGGAAAAAAATAGGAAAACCCTAGCCCTGTTATTAAAATGAGAAGAAAAAATGATTCCGATAAATGCCATATCAGACTAAAATATAATTCAGTACACATCCAACCTCCAATGGATTTAGTGTAAAGACATCATAAATAGTTAGAGAACAACATGACCTTGTGCAATGCCAAGATACAGGTATCGACATATTGTAGAGCCATGAATGTGCATATGTGTATACAAATAATATTTAGTTTGATCTTAATTTACTGATAACAAAATCAATATTAATACCAATAAAAACAATATTCAAAGACCTAATTACAGTGTTGAATTTATAACCTTTTAGGATAAGTTTATTTAAAGGATCGATAAGTTTACCCGGATCGTTTCCAAATTTCTGGGCTCGGTAAACAAGGTCTCCGTAAAAATGAGGATGTGCTATCCCGTTTGAAATAAGTTTTCTACAGGTACAACCAAATTTCAAAACCAAATCTTTATATCTATGGAAGAATTTAGTAAAGGTTTTAAGTAATTTGTGGTAACGAAATCCCTGACTTAATAATTTACCAGTAATACATAGATTACGTTCATTGAAATCCAAAACGTTACAACAGACACGGGCATAGCGAACGAGTTGTGATATATATAAACACCGTAAGATGGTGCCAAAGGAACATCACCGTCCAAAAAAGGAAAATTAACAATAGGGAACGAAAAATCGTCCCTTTTGTCGTAAATTTTAGTGTAGATAAATAAAGGCAACAGTAGTATACCGCTGTTCGAAACTCATAAATCGATAGAGATAAAAACAAATCCGGGTTACAAACTAAAACTGAGGGAACGCATCAAATATAAGAGGAGAACAACGACACAACAAAAACACAACATTAAAATGTAACACACACAGAAACGAACTATAATATAACAATGACCATTTTCTTGGTACAGGACATTTTAAGAAAAAAAAAAATGGTGGGTTGAACCTGGTTTTGTGGCATGCCAAACCTCCCGCTTTTATGGCAACGTCAAACACAACACCAAAACGACAACATCACATGACAGGACCACAATACAAATAAATGGGAGAACATATAGGACAAAGAAACACACGAATAATAGCTAACAAAAGGTACTAGGCTTAAAATTCAATACGCCAGACGTGCGTCTCGTCCACACAGGACCAACCAGTGACGCTCAGATGAAAAAAGTTTGAAAGCCAAAACAAGTACAAAGCTGAAGAGCACCGAGGACCAAAACTTCCAAAAAGTTTCGCCTAACACGGCCAGGGTTTTCTGCCTGGGACAAGAACATCATTATTTAGAATAATTTATAATTTAGCAAACAGTAAATTTTATAAAATGACTATATAATAGATATACATGATAAAACCGAAGCGGGGACTAACTACAGAATAAAAACGGATACATTACATAAAACAACTTAATTCAACACATAAAAATACACAGCCGAGTTAGCCAAAGCCTCAACGCACATAGAGTTTCCCGTGTAAAACTGAAATATCTTAATCTAGGAAAGGACAGTTATTACCGTTTATATTTGATTTATTTAAAGTAAGTTCCTTTGGGGAAATTTCGGTAGTATATTTAGAAAATTCTTGATTATTTAACGAAAAAATATCATCAAGATAACGGTAAGTGTTGTTGAATTTATCAATTAAATGCAATTTAGACGGGTCTTTACTGAGTTTGGTCATAAACTGTGATTCATAACAGTACAAGAACAAGTCTGCTATTAAAGGGGCGCACTTGGTGCCCATAGAAATACCTACAACCTGTCGATAAACTTTATTGCCGAAACGTACATAAATATTTTCAAGGAAAAAATGAACAGCTTCAATCATCTCATCACACCTCCAGTAAGTATATCTAGCATATTTACCTTTCTCATTAGAGAAGAAGGTTTTAAAGAGTTGCAGCAAATAAATTTGCATTCAGATTTACCAAACGACCATTTAATTAAATAGGAAAACTTTTGTTTGATAAGATTGTGTGGAAGTGTAGTTTAAAGAGTTGAAAAGTCAAAACTATGTGAGTGTTTTGTTTTAAAGATATATTCCATATTCTTGACACTGAACATCTTTTTGTACCTATTCTTTAAAGACTGATTTTAGTTGGTCATTTCTTTCCTGGTCAGCATATTTTGTACATGTCAATCGATCTTAATCTTGCAATATTGCTTTGGAATCCACTATAAATATTCGTATTCCAATCAGCATTTACATGTAGTTTACATAATTAACATTACACATATATTTCAAAATTTACACACACATGGATAAGTTGTCATATATACATCACGCATGTTGAAGCTGGGATTAATTAACGGTCAGTTAGAGAAGTCAAATCAAACTGTGATTAAATTTTCGCTCTAGATAATCAGATTCAGTAGCAATAAAATTATGTTAAAAAGATTTTGGTGATCCCGACTGGGGAGGGGGGCACGTGTCCCTTGTCCCCCCGGTAAATCCGCCACTGCATAACTCTCTAAAAACCTCAACTTTAAAAGCAGTTGCATACTTGGGGTAGAATGTTATTATATTAAAACATCTTTGCAATTAAATGAACAGAATACCATCAGTATGATCAGCAATGCGGTAATAAAATCAATACAATAAAAATAATATGCTTCGCTGGGGCGCAGCTTGATACGACCGCAGAGGTCGAACCCTGAACAGTTGGGGCAAGTATGGACACAAAATTCAAGCTTGATACAGCTATGACTTTGGATTGTCATTAAATATTTGACACAGCATAGGTTTCTGACACAGGATGAATGTGGTGTAAGAACTGGAAAAAATTTAATTTACCTATTATGGTGGAATATCCATAAACTAAATTGTTTGTTAATTTCAATATATCAAAGAATATGTAGAATTCAATGTTTGATGTAATGTAATAAAGTTGAAATTTGGACCGTTTTTGTTCAATGTGGACCAATTTGGTAACATGTATAAATAATCAAAAATCTAAATACATGGGAGCCCATTTAAATACATCATAAAGGTATTAAAATAGAAAGTGACATCATAGTCATGGCTAAAAATAAACAAAAATCCTTAATCAGCAACATTTAAAGTAATATCTAAAAATAAAATTCCTTTGTAACCATAAAAGCCCATTTAAATACATCATAAAGATATAAAAAATAGAAAATGACACCATAGTCATGGCTAAACATAGCAAAAAACCCTTAATCAGCATCATTTAACAGTAATATCTAAAAATGGAAATTACATCATAAAGGTATTAAAATAGAAAATGACATCATAGTCATGGCTAAAAATAAACAAAATCCGTAATCAGCATCAGCAACATTTTATAGTAATATCTAAAAATAAAATTCCTTGGTAACCATAAAAGCCCATTTAAATACATCATAACAGATATTAAAATAGAAAATGACATCATAGTCATGGCTAAACATAGCAAAAACCTTAATCAGCATCATTTAACAGTAATATCTAAAAATAAAAATTTCTTTGCAACCATAAAAGTAAAATAGAAAATGACATCATAATCATAGCTAAAAATAAACAAAAATTTTTTTTATTGGCAAATTTTAAATGGTGTTTATTATACTAAAACAATAAATTTGCAACCATAAACATGATAAAACCCCATTTAAACACATCATAAAAGTATTAAATAATTCAACTACATCATAAGGCTATAAAAATAGAAAATGACTTCATAGTCAAGGCTAAAGGTAAACAAAAAACCTTCATCAGCAAAATTTTATATTGGCAAATTTCCAATGAAGTTTATTACACTAAAATTGTTGGCAAATTTCCAATGCATTTATTAACAATAAAGTTATTGGCAAATTTCCAATTTACATAATTTAAAAGCAGTGTAGATGAGATATTTAAATGAGTTTGAATTACCAACCTTACACTGCTTTTAAATAATGTTCTTTACTCAATTATTTGTCTATTAAAATGGAAACCCTTGTTTTTTAACCTTTTTTCCCCTTATTCCTTAAACATTAGAGCCATAACCCCCCCAAAGCCAATTATTACTTTCCAATGTAACCTAAATTTCCAATATACATAATTTTAAATTTCAGTTCCTCATGATATATAACCGTATCATTATTATTTTCTTTCATATATAAATCTGAAACAACCATCTTTAAATGGAAAATTTTAAAGAAAAAAAAAGGAAAAAAAAAATCCTACCCCCCACACATTTTTTCAACCCCCTTTTGATTCATCATCCCCCACCTCAATCACAACCTTCAATTTGTGGTATGGTATATTGCAATACAATTTCACAGAGATCCATACAATTGAACACAAGTTTTTGTTGCAAACTAAAAAAATCCTTATTTTCGACCAATATTTGGCCCCTTATTCATAAATGTTTGAGCAATTAACCCCAAAACTCAATTCCTACTTTCTCTTCGTGATAAAAAATAACTAACTTAAAATGTAAATTTTAAACAAAAAAAAAGGAAAAAAAAAAAATTACCCCTTTTTTGACCCCCGCCCCCCTTATGATTCATCACCCCCACCCCCTTTCCCCCCAAACCAAGCTCAATAACAGCCTTGCCTTTGTGGTATGGTACCTTGTAATACAATTTTAGAGAGATCCATACACTTGAACACAAGTTATTGTCTAGAAACTAAAAAATGCTTATTTTAAACCCCTTTTTAGGCCCCTTATTACTAAACGTTTTGGGCAATTACCACAACACTCAATTCCAGCTTTCCCTTTGTGAAATGGAACCTTGTAGTAAAATTTCAGAAAGATCCATACACTTACACACAAGTTATTGTCATGAAACTAGAAAAATGCTTGTTTTTTGCCCCCTTTTTGCCCCTTATTCCTAAAATTTTGAGGCAATTAACCCCAAAATCAATCCCAGCATTGACCCTTAGTGATATGGAATCTTGTGGTACAATGTCAAAGAGATCCATATGCTAACACACAAGTTATGTCTGGAAGTTACAAAAATGCTTATTTTCGGCCCCTTTTTGGCCCCTAATTCCTTAACTGTTGGTACCATAACCCTAAAATCAATCCCCACCTTCCTATTGTGGTATTGAACCTTATGGTAAAATTTCATAGAGATCCATTCACTTAAACTAAAGTTAGAGTGCAAAAACCATTGTGTATTCGGACGACGACGCCGGACGACGACGACGACGACGACGACGACGACGACGACGACGACGCCAACGTCATACCAATATACGACCTCAAAATTTGTTTGCGGTCGTATAATGAGCAGATTTCCTGTCAGTATTGTACACAATGCGGTAATAAAATCAATACAATGAGCATATTTCCTGTCAGTATTGTTCGCAAGGTGGTAAGAAAAGTTTTTGCAATGAAATTAACAGATTACCTATCAGCAATGCGGAAACGAAAATCATTATCTTGACAAGTCCAATGAATATGCTGAGTACAACTCTAAGCATCGAACTTGACTTCTTGATACCTGCAAGATATACATTTAACAGCAGAGCTAAAGAATGTTAGAAGAAAAAATGATGATCTATTATATTTTTTTTCTTTTATTCATACTTCAGAGGTACCTTCTAAAAGAACTATTATATCTTTATCTTCACAATGTTAACTTTATGCGATTGTTAAGACAACAAAACAAATAGAAATTATATGATATAATTTTTATGATAATACACGTTTCGTAGCCATGTTTTTAGTAACTGTTACACTTTCTCATCTCTTAGATGAATTTTACTATTGTTTTTCGTTCCCTTTTGGAAATATAGCTAGCTCTTCACAAGTTTGGGTACTTATACGTCCTTTGGGTTTAATGTATTTGGCTTTTAGCGTTCCTGTTGAAAGTTAATCTAGAAAAGTGCTTCGGACTCCTACAATTTTATAAAGTGCTAGTTTTGTTTATAGCACTGGGTCGATATATCTGCTGGTTGAGTATTAGACCCCGATGGTATAATCAGCTCAGTAGTCAGTGCTTCGGTACTGACATGATTCATAGCTTACATTTCTTAAAGTTTTAAGTAGATAAATTAAGAAATTATGAAGAAACTAAAGTTCCAACACGATCAGGATAAGTTGACATTAAATGTAATTGGCTATTATTTGTCGGTCCCTTTTGGATATATAATAATAGCTCCTCTCTTGTTTCGGTTCTTATACATCTTTCGGTTTCAATGTTTTGGCAAAGAACGTTCCTGATGAAGGTGAATACAGAAAAGCGCTTCGGACACATATATATAATTTGTATGTATAGTACTATTTTCAGTATCTGTGCTTGGAAATAGGTATTGACATATAAACAAAGTGAGAACAGAATATTTTGTTTTCGTTTTTGTGATCTGCTTTTTCTTAATATATCGTCGATGATTGCAAGTTCGTTATGCTTGCAAGCTCGTGACATTTGGGGATTTCCATTTTATTCGTGACGTCATGCATAATTATCATCGGCAACGTGCTACTTCAAAAAAACTTAATTGGATATTTTTCATTGCATTTTCACTAATATCGGCTTGAAAAAGAGAAGTTGTGTATGTTCTTGCATATTATTTGTTTAAACATTTATTTCCACTATTACTGTTTATTCCTCTCCTAGAATTTCGTTGAATTCTTGGGAAAATCCTTTCAGCAATGTTATTGACATCTTAACAATGAGTCATCATCTATTTTTAGGTTATGTGGCGCTCTTTTCCCTTTTTTAAGGCCAAGAGTATTATTTTTAAAGTCTGTATGTGAGATGAGTTTCTAAGATCAGAAAAGGATTTGATATATTTTGATAAAACCAAACCTGCCGAATATTGGCTCGTAAAAGTAATTTAATCCTATGTCATTTAATGCAAATTGAATGAAAAAAATACTTTAATGCATTAATGACATTGTGACATCGTTATAGTTATCTTAAACATGTTTAAAGTGTAAATCTGGACTTTCCAATTGACCATTGAAAGTCACGTGTAAAAATTAGAATAATTGTTGTAGGGAGAATAAAAAAGTTAGTATACCCCAATTTCTCTTTTTTTCGAGATATTCATTTGTTATTTGATCTCAAATTTATTCTGTAATGTTCAAATACATAATACAATAGGCCTGACCTATATATTGTTGCAAATGCGCAAAAGCCACCGTCCAAGACAAAGGTCACGAACTTACAAGCATGTCTACTTATTTTACGGAATCTGGTCACAATACGAAACATAGACAGATTGACCATGTTTCTGAAGCTACATGTCAATTAAGTGTATCAGACTGTTTGCAAATAAGTAAAGAATATTTACATTCACAGTGGATAATATTTGCTCCAAGGTTGTGAATTTTTCTTCCGTTAAGAGTTAGGGTAACGAACTTCCAATCATCGAGGATAGTTTCTATGGTTTTACATCTTATTTTCAGTTTTCATCATTTATATCGAGAAAGTTACACTGTTATCACTTACAACGCAAATAATATGTGAATAAGAAATTATTGTTTGTTCATATTCATTTACAAATTTTAAAAATTTCAACGACTAAATATGAATAAGGTCTCATTGCATTTTTTGTGTACACGTGTATCAATTCTTTATTTTTAACATTCCTTGTATGATTATATTGACAACTTGCATTATAATTAATCGAAAGAAAAATATCGGCAATAAATGAAATTAAGTTTACCTTTTTCGTTATCTCTCTTTGAGATTTGCATTAATGGCCTTTCTTTGTCTCTGTTAAATAGAAGATTATAAGAATAATCGAAAGACATTCTATATAGTTACTGTGTTAGAATAAAAAGGCAAACATAAAAATGGACAAATTAACTTTGATCGTAAGTTATACTAAAATGTGTATGACTTACGAGTGTTTTTACTCTTAAGAATTTTTGTGAAAAGACCCGCAGAGTATTAGTATATCTTAACTTTGCTTTCGGAATGCATTGTTCAAGATAAACTAAGTATAGTATGCAACAAGTCAAAATATAAGTTATATATATATAAAAATAATAGGATAATAAGAATAAAAGTCAAACATTATCCTATAAATGACGATGAACTCTATATATTACCGCAGCGTTGTCAAAATTCACGGTAAATATTAATCAGCCTGGTATTGAATTCTGTTTTCTCTTTTTAAACTAGGTTACGAGTAGGATACATGATATAAAGACAAACGATAGCACCTACGTAGAACGATACTCGAACTTATAACAACAATGCATTGAAAAAAGAGGAACAAGAAATATCCCACTCAAATAGACTTTCTATGTTTCAAAATGTAATGTAATGTAATATAACAGAATAGGGAGTTTTGTTGTTGTTGTTATTGTTTAGGTAGGGGCGGGGGTTTCACCTACTAAATGCATGTTTAAATGTCCCGCCTACGATAGTAGAGGGCATAATGGTTTCAGGTCAGTGAGTTTGTCCGTCCATCAGTCCATTCCATATGAAATTGAACTGAACATTGAAATGTGGTTGTGAGTATCAAACTAAAGTTTTCGTTTAAGGTACAATTTACTATGAAGTTGTTGTCAACGTCATTTTTAAAATTAGGAGAATTATTCATTATAATGTGAACTTGCACAAATACGTGTCAAAGTAAAGTTCGAACAAGATGTCACAGCTCACTGAACATGGAAATGGGATATTACGTATCAGATTATCTTTTGGTTATGGTAGTTTACCATGAAGTGTAAGTCATCTCGATTTGAAACTTGGTACACATGTTTATTATTACGTGAACTTGAAACTATATGCAAATTAGTATTGACTCATGTTTCGTAATTCATGCACTGAACATGAAAATGTGACAGCGCGTGTGGTGCGTTGTTTTCTAAAGATTCATATTCTTTAAATCAACAATTTTTTACAATTATTGAAAATAATAATTACTGAACCTGCCTAGTATCTGTATTATCTGGAATCATACTGCAAGTTGATTTCATACTCCAATTTGTCAAGTGTATACAATTATAGTCTGAAACATTCTTAGAATGATGAAATAAATATAAAAAAAATCTTACTATTTTTACTTCTTCAAAAGAATTAATTGTAAATTGTTTCTTCAATTTGAAAATAAAAGTGTAATAATGAATTTCCATCTACTGGTATGGTATAAAATAGTCTCTACTGTGGCATATGATTATTTATATACAAACAACAAAGAGTAGATGACAAACGCACATACCAATACAAAAAGATGAATTGTTTTAAAAAATATTCATCCTGCAATCAGCATAAACTATGTCGATTTGAACAACTAAATTAAAACCTTAAAGTGCCAGGTGTAAATTACAGGATTACAACAATATAATATAACGACATTGTCGGAAATATAAAATTCATTTGTACTCGATACGAAACAAGAACTTATATATATTTTCCGACTTGTATATTTATTTACCTGGAGTCAGTACAAAACCATATGGACACTGTTTTTGGTAACACGAACAATCTTCCTTTGATGATTCACAGTAGCAAGCATACTTTGGCTTCTTGATGAAATCATAGCCTTTGCTATAATCACAGCGACATTGTCTATCGGTTTTGGTAGTACCATTGTCGTGAATAACTTGTCCTTCTGCATTGCAGGGATTCTTTTTAAATGCGCAGGTGGAACTACCATTCGTCCAATATTTGAAGGGTTGATATATATCATGTTCACAGTCGACGCCTTGAATGCCACCTACAATTACTACTTTATGACCTAGAAATGATTTGAAAAAAGTTCATTAACTGGATGGTTAGAGTATTTTTTGCGGCATTTGATATTTGGTTAGAGTTTGTTTAGGCAAAGTTATACGTGTCAATTGGTCTTATGTGTATGTTCTTTTTTTTCTGTTAACCTTTCGTTACTTTTGCTTTGCCTTGTACGTGTATTGTCCGCTAGATTTCCCTCTTGACATAACTAAGTAATTCCTTCCTGTTAATTGCTATATAAAGTCATATGGAAGTAAATGGAAATACAAAATTAATGTCCTGTATAAGACTTTTATCTTATTAATAACATAATACTCCAACTGTGACATAAGGTGGAATGTAGTATGGTTTACGTTCAGTGGACGTTTCATGTAACAAATCAAAACCAGAAATATCAGCTCAAAATTGAAATAAAGAATTTCACTGCACCTTTGATAAGAATACGAAATACAGAGATATACTTAATTCCATGGTACAAACTAATGTCCATTGATGAATATGTAAAACAATGAATGTGTAGTAAAACGGCATTCGTTTTAACAATCTTGTAGACAATACCGTATAAATGTTTTTTTACTAGAACTCTTTAATTTTGTACTATCATCTAATATATGCTCAAACCTGCAGAATCAAATGTAGGGGTTTCCTGGCATATTTCTGTATATTTTCTATTGTTGTCGTCATATAAACAGTAATATTGGTCTGTAAAATTACAAGCGGTCTTTGCTCTTTTAAACCATTGCGATGTACTTGGACAGAAGAATTCGATGCAGATATTAAGAGGAAAAGAAGCGAATCCAAGGTGCATAAGCAATAATAAATGCATCTGTAAAACATAAAGCTATTTGAAAATATGCATTTAAAAGAATCCCAATAGCAGTCATATGAATCCCAACCGACGAGATTATTAGGTACAGCAACAGCTTAATTAGCTTGTAATTTCAAAATTATACTGCGAAGCGTAAGTGTCATGGCAAGGAACATGAAAAACAACTATATATCAAATGGGCCATGGTAGACATTTTAGATCTACGACAAAGTTTCAAAGTCCAGAGAAATTAATAAATGTCGATTCAAAAATAAGTTTTGCTATACTTTATTAGGATTCGACAATACATATAACATATTCTATTTTATATTAATATTGTAAATAAAGCTATTACTAGTAATTTAAACGACGAGCAATCAGTAAACAAATTAGTACACTATTTATAAAGAGTTGGAATATTAAACCATATATAACCAGAACTGTAACAATAGTTAACAGTGCGTGTAAGCGATCTCTTTCCCAGCAACCAGGGATGAAACAAGGACAGTAACTGAAAGTTAGAAAAAAAAAATGTGCCGGGATAACACAAATGCTCCAACTTCTTGTCATATTTCTAGGATCGTAAATCCGTGAAAAAATATAAATATAAGTCTTCGACATAATGCACGAATCCGATCTGTAAATGTATAGCTGTTCACTAAAGAATGATTCAGCTCATTATTTACTGGAATAACAAACAAGAAATAATGACCGAAAAATTTTTGCATTTCGGAAGGACAGATTGACGGATTAATAGAAGAAGGAGATTGGTAGAAAGACGAAATTACAGACATTGGTTTTACAATTTTCCACAGCAAATGAGTGGCGCGGAGGCGTTTGGGGTTGATAAAACAATAAATTTTGTTGATGTATCTATCGCAAACGATGGAACGTTAAACACATTTTCATACTTACAGCTGACAAACGCTGACAGACAGGCACTAATGAGAGGTAGGGTCAATTTCCTTTAAATCTATTTCACACCCGGGCAATTTTTCAAAAAAACATCCTTTAATCTTTACATAAATTTACAGTTTAATAAATTGGTAAATTGTTTTAAAGGTTTTCATAACATTTTAGCGTATTTTCGGAACTTGTAACCAAATTATCCCTTCCTAAAGAAGACTCAAAACTGCAATATTGATAGACTTTGGCGAAATGTGAGAAACTATAAATTCTAATAATAAATAAATAAGCTTTAACTATAGGCGGCATGGTTTACAAAACAAGGACATAAAATAAGCTCTATTTAACTTTTAACCGACATAAAACAATTAAAAAAAATGTATAAAGGCACTCTTAACCAAAACCAAACTTCTATTTGGTTTAGTATACTAATGTTAGCCTAAAAAGAGATGTTTCATCAATGAATGGGATAAATACCATTTCATGATAGAGTTGAAATTGCAATATTTGGACTGAATTTCTGCCTTTTTAAATATTTTTCATTTAACGGCCGTTTCTGTCTTATTCATATTTTCGGTTTTTATATATATCGCCTTATTGTTCGCTGGCTTATTGTTCGCTAGTTATTGTTCGCTAGCTTCAGCTTTAAATGCAACATTTTACACAAACATATAACAATGTCAATATTGTCGAACAATTTGTACAACATGTCAAACATTTTGATTCTATGGCATGGAAATATGTAACATGATCTATTTCTTATTATACTGACTTTGAACTAGCTTTGACTATGAGTTCTCTTATATCGGTGATTTGAGTCTATTGTTTTTATGTTATTAGTTGTTTTTATATGCTTCGTACGGACATATTGAGTTTGCAACTGATTTTTACAGTGTGCTTTTATGTTGTGCTGTTACACCACTGTCCCATTTCGGGGCCTTTTAATGCTGACTATACGGTTTTGGTTTTTCTAATTGTCGAAGGCCGTACGGTGACCTATGATTGCTTTTATCCACGTGCTTTGAAAAGTGAATAGTTGTCAGATTGGCAATCATATCACATCTCCTTATTTTATGTAGATTCAGATTCAATATTTTATTAAAGTCTCACCACATACAATTACATATATTTACACAATAAAATATTCATACAGGTACATAAAACATACATGTATAACAACAAACTTTAAATTCACATTGTATGTGCCAATCTTAAAAGATTTATGAGAGACTGTACAAGCAATACTGTTAAAAAATAATTAGATATTGTACATATTATATATAATATATATTTGCTTATGAATATCATTAAAATACAGCATAATCAATGATATAAAAAACCATTTCTTCTGATTAAAATGCTATAGCAGGTTCTGGCGACACTTTCAAAAACTTTATCATTACGTATTAGATACACCTTGAGGATGTTGGCCCGAATGGGTGTATCTAATTTACACCAATATATTATTGTCAATGCAGAATGATAGTTTTCAATAACTTACGAAGGGGTCTTTCCGCAATTTGATCATATGTTATTGAAAAGCATGATAAATGCAGAGTATCGCATTTCATTTAACGACATATTGGTGTAAATATATTTAAATATGAAGAGACCACCAGTATTGTATACAAGTATCGACAAGTTTTTTTTCTATTTAGAAGAAAAAATAACAAGAAGTGTTTTCAATATTTTCCTCATAAAATTTACATTTATTTATTGATTTTTGCTTATTGTGCATAATTTTTTATACATGAACTAAAAAAGGTTGACCGAAATTACAGTTGTTTAAATGTAAGCAGTGTGAGGAATTTTTAGAGAATGTTATTAAATGATTTCCGGAAAACCTTTTGATTCGAAATTGGGTCATCGTTCTTGTGAAATGCTGAACAGTATAAAATATTTTAAAAATGCATAAAATCCAAATTCTGCATAAACTTGTTAAAAAATTAACTGGGGGTATAAAGGTTTGGATATTAATTGTTACTTTGCATCAGCGTAATCAATATATTATTGTACTGAGTAACAATGGAAATAATGCCTGGAAAGAAAATGATCAAATGGATTCATCAAGGACCAAACTGACTATCGTTCAATTAGTGATTCTATGTTTTCCGAAAGAGTGTTCTTAATAAAAAGCAAGTATATTAATAGCTTGATCAAAGGAATTATAATAAACATTATAAACACTTACCTGTAGTTTTGTCAGGTGACATACTATTTTATTTTTTAACATAGACAAGTATACACGTCACAATAGTAAATACACCCACCCGTTTCTTCTGTTACTTTGTATCTCACGTAAAGGACAGGTAGCAAAAACGAAAGAAGAAAAAATACCGAAAATTTGGAAATAGCTTTTGTTGAGCTTGAACAAAATAACAAATTTCACATATATCACCAGTTTTTATTTTAACAGTATATATTCTAAAATCATATATAAAACATCATTTGTGTTGATTAAATGTTGTTTTATATAACATTCATCATAAACAGTCTGCAAAAGTGAGAACAAAACATCATTAATCATAAGAAAGAGGGTTGAGATCTCAGTAAACATGTTTAACCCCGCCGCATTTTTGCGCCTGTCCCAGGTCAGGAGCCTCTGGCCTTTGTTAGTCTTGTATGGTTTTTAATTTTAGTTCATTTATATGTTTTAGAGTTTAGTATGACGTCCATTTTCACTGAACTAGTACACATTTTTGTTTAGGGGCCAGCTAAAGCTCGCCTCCGGGTGCGGGATTTGCTCGCTGTGTTGAAGACCCATTGGTGGCCTTCGGCTGTTTTTTGCTCTTTGGTCGGGTTGTTGTCTCTTTGACACATTCCCCATTTCCATTCTCAATTTTATTGATGAGTTTTAGATAATCGGTATTCAAATTACATTAAATTGTCATGTAGATTATATCTACCCTTATACTGGAAATATGGGAGGTTCATTTGAGATATTCCGCCCAATAAATGTTTATGCAATCGTTATAATTATATGATTGCCAATGGGACAACATTCTATCAATGTTGGGACATTGAATAAAAAAACAAAAACCAAACACATAAAAATTAAAAATTAAAACATGCACCCCCAGCCCCCTTCCCCCCCTAAAAAAAAAACAACAAACAAATAAACAACAAACAAATAAACAACAAACAAATAAACAACCGTACCTTCATTTGTGGATGCAAAATGCTATTGTATTTTTACAGAGCTTACAGCAATACATATATTAATATACAATATATGTACATTGTCGGAAAATATAAAATTTATTTGTATGAGCTTTAGAAACAGGACGAAAAGCGAGGCTCGCCGAGCTTTTCTCCTGTTTCGTAGCGAGTACAAATACATTTTATATTTTCCGACAATGTACATATATTGTTTTTATCCTGAAATTAACACCCAAAACTTGAAACTTTAGTTGTTAAAATCTAAATCATTGTCTCTAATCATTCAAAGAAATCGACATAGTTTAAACGCGGACCGCGAAGAGGACCCCAAAATGAATTGGTACGCAAAAAATAATATTCACAATACCGCTTGCTCAACATGGAAGCGGGGTAACAGGAGACTTTATTTGTACAAGTATAAACTCATCATAGATACCAACTAAATTATGTACGCCTGACGCGCGTTCGTCTATAAAATACTTATCAGTGTATAGACTTATCAGTGATGCTCGCATAAAAAAAATAAAAATAAAAACAAAATAAAGTGAAAGGGCATTGAGGGCCCAAAAAATCGAAAAGTTTTTTTTTTTCAAAAACAGCCAAGGTAATCTATTTTCCTTGGGTTGGAAATCCTTAGTATGTCGAAAATTTCGAAGTCTTGTGAACAGTTATTTCACAATTATAACCCTGTCAATGATAATTCATGAACACATAGAAGTGGGAATATAAATATTCGAAATATTTAGCCACCAGATACTATTTTGTTTAAATTGCTCTTCCTCTCTTGCAATGTCTAACAAGTGATTATACAGTTTCCAAAAACTGTGTACCCCTTTCTTAGAAAAGAAGCTGAATCTATAAAAGCCAATGAAAGCATCGTGATGAATGAAACATGAAACCCGGAACCTTGTCTTTCACATTATTTAGATAAAACTGAATAACAGAATACTGCTCAATTGTTTCCGTTCAGGTATAACATTTACGTTTTATTGGATGTATGAATTTGGCATTACAATTAAACAATAGTATATTAAGCCGGAAATTACATATTGTTTTTGAATTGATAAAACAATTATTTCCTTATATTCGATGTAGATGTAAGTGATGTTCCAATATGGATGCTGGCCAAATAATATTTTGTGTTGTTTTGTTCTATCTGCCCAGATTTAAATGTGTTAAATTGGGAGTTTGCAGCAAAGAAAAAAGGTAACATATACATTGATTTGAGTACCATGTTCACCAACACCCCATTGTTTGCAGTGAATGTGTATGATTCCATTTAAAGAATAATTCAGGATCGACATTATATAGGATTGGTATACATTCCTCGAAAAAAGAACGTTTAATATATAGTAGTCTAGCAATACATCAAGCTTATTAAACCTTTGAAATTTTGTTTGGCTTTGTCCGTCTTTTTAATTAACACATTTGTTGTTTCATTTTGTAATATCTAAATCCCGTATCCATACACAAGGGTTAACATGTATTTCCGTTACTTTCCCCTTTACTTTTTGACATATACATTGTTTCATCTATATTTTCCATTTCTTTCTAGAAACAGTGGTACATTAACTCGTTTACCGCAATCTTGAATTACATTTAAATCCCAAAAATCTTGTACTTTCTTAACATCCCCACCCTTTTTTACCTCTATTTTCTCCAAAACCTAAAAAAGGTTTTTTAAAACTTCGTCCATATATAAAATAAGAAGATGTGGAACGATTGCCAATTAGACAGCTCTCCACAAGAGACCAAATGAAAAAGATTTAACAACTACATGTCACCTTACGGCCTTCAACAATGAGCAAAACCCATATCGCATAGTCAGCTTTAAAAGGCACCGAAATGACAGATTTAAATCAATTTAACACCATTTCAATAGGAATCCAACACTTACAGAAAATATTACATTTTACAATGTAATTGGATGCAATATTTCTTAACTTTAGAGAATCACATGTGAAATTATCGGTTTTTGTTTCACTGGGAAATTCATTTCAACTAATGTAATAAATAATATTATTTTAAAGCGAGTTTGAGTAATCGTACGAAGTGTTGATGCACGGATGGACGGATATTGGTATACCTTATTACATCATGTCTTCGACGGGCGAATAAAAATGAAGAGATCTGGTATGATTGTCACTGAGACTACTATCCACCAGAGTTCAACTGAAGTGGTAGAAAGCAAGTAGGCCATTGTATGGCTTTCAACAATAAAAGGCCCCGACATGAAAAATGTGAAACAATTCAAACGAGAAAACTAACGGCCTAATTTAAAACAGAACAATTTACGAAAAACAAATATCACTGAAACGAACCAACGACAATAACTGTACTACATGCTATTGACTTAGTACAGTACATACTATTTTTTCAGAGTTTAAATATATATATTTGCAGTGTGATTGTCAGTGGACAAACCGTTATCAGAACATTATACTTTTGCTGTCGTCATTATGAAGAAAGCAGTGGAATATGCGAAGGTAATATGTGTATATGTACTTGGTGGAAGATTAATGTACGTTCGTAGAATGTCTAGTAATGTGAGCCGGGATCGGCTGCTTAGATAACTCTACGTATTATTCAATTAGAAAACATGTTATTAATCTCGAATTTTATATAATTCACTGCACGAAATGAATACCAATAACATATACTGTTTTTGATTTTCGCTTTCTACAGTATTATAGAAAGAACGACATGCTTCAGACAAACCAATCTCAAATGTTGATATGATTATGATTCCCCGGTCGGCTATCTAGCAATAAAACACATTGACAAGCGGGTCATCGTTTTGTTATACGGGATGTATGAATGCGAAGTCACGTCTAGTAAGAATGTCGACGTTTTTAAAAATCTAGACGCTTCGCGACGGGAAAGCTCCAAGCCCTTTAAATAGCTTTTTGAGGTGTCCGTGGATGGCCTGAAAGTGGCCACGATTATTTCCTCTGCAGAGGTTACCTATAATACTAGTTTTTTTGTTACAATGCTTAGTCCTCGGACGAATAAGAATTTGAGAATCAAACTCATAAAATGGTAGGGGATTATTAAAAGTTTTAATGGGTTTGTGAAGTTATATTACCGGTTTACAATTACTTCAACTTGGTCAATAATGCAAAGTTAGTGCTACGAGTCTCTAGTAAAAAAATCTAATTGCTATGTCTCGGTATATTGAAATAACAGATGGATTAAATCTATGTAAAATTACATTGGTATATAGATATAAGAAGATGTAGTATGAGTGCCAATGAGACATATCTCTATCCAAGTCAAACTTTATAAAGTAAACCAGTATAGGTCAAAGTACTGCCTTCAACACGGAGCCTTGGCTCACACCGAACATCAAGCTATAAAGGGCCCCAAAATTACTAGTGTAAAACCATTCAAACAGGAAAACCAACGGTCTAATCTATATAAAAAAACGAGAAACGAGAAACACTTAAGAACCACATCAACAAACGACAACCAATGAACAACAGGTTCCTGACTTATGACAGGTGTATTCTTATATAATCAAAGTAGAGTTGAAAGAAGGCCGATAAGTCCTAAGTTGCACTTTAACATCTTGTCAGGAAATAAAGGTTCAATTTGTTAAAACGTTATGGAATATCCATGTCAAATATGCCCACCGAATAAGCGGTGCTTTGCTTTGCGCCAATTGGCATTTCATTTTCGCCAAAATAATCTTTCATTTGCGCCACAAACTATATTTCATTTGCGCCAAAATGAAAGATTTTATTTGCGCCAAAATGAAAGATTTTATTTACCCCAATAATACAGGTAAATACAGGTTAATAGTATAAAAATAGTGTTATCCAAAAGGCACTTTCAATAAGAACTTTAAAACACAGTTTTTGATTACATAATAAAACATATTCCTCCGAAATTAGTCATTGTAACCATAATTAAGCCACTATCCACTGAGAGACTTTTCATAATTATGTTAGAACACAGTTCTGTTATAATTAACGAGATCATAATACCTAAAAGAAAGCACTATTCACTGGAGTATACGTAAAACCAAAAGTTTGTTCTGACACAAGACTTGTAAGCAGTGGCTCAGATGTACTCCTGTACATTGGATAACCTATATGTGTGTTCTTAAAAAAATGTATTTCCTCTATATAAAAATATGGAGGCGTGGTATGATTGCCAATGAGACAACTATCCACCAAAGTTCAAATGAAGTGGATGAAAGCAATTATAGGCAACCGGACGGCCTTCGAAAATGATAAAAAAACCAAACATACCGTATAGTCGGCTAGACACAGCCCGACATTAAAAATATGAAACAATGCAATTGAGAAAAACTAATGGCCTGTTTGTCTCAAAAATGACTGTGTCCATCTTGACACCTAGCTCAAACATGTGAACAGTATATAGTTTTAAACCTAAATGACTCTCAGTTTTATATTAGAAATGAGTATGAACTTACATAGTTACCCGGGGGAATACTCTAAAAAATCTTATTCACGATATATAGCAATGAATATTTAAACTTTTTCGTTAAATATGTTACCTATAAAATGGCGCAAATGTAGTCTTTATTTTTTGGCGGAAATTAAATATAACCTTGTGGCGTAAATTGAAGATTGGATTTTGTAAGAAATGGCGCAAATGCAATGCCCCTCGAACATGTTCTCTGAATGTGACTTGTAACTATATTTTATATGAGCAATTCAATGACCAAAAGTGGAGCAGGAACAGGTTACCCTCCGCGGCTGCTACGTGACTCCCGGTTGGTTTTGGTTGTATATGTACATTAAGTTGCAGCGTAGTATGATAGTTTTCCGTTAACTGTTGTTTGCTTCTATCTAGCATACTATCCATTTTTCTCTGACTATTTTTTTAGGTTATAATTTACCCTTGGTATATAATCCCTCTTTTTTGTATACCTTAAAGATTTCCTCGACTATCATGAAATTAATACTAATTCAAATGACATAATAAACATGTCAATAAAAGAAAGCATTGCAATAGCATTTGGTGTATTGATAATCTTTTTTTTCTTTCAAATTTTAGAATGCGATACAGGATATGAATCTAATGGAACAAGATGCGAACCTTGCAAAACTGGTCAGTATGGTATTAAATGTGCAGACACATGTCATTGCAAGGCACACGAAAGGTATGAAATTGTAATATGCACTACACCAAACTTTACACTGTTACCATAATAATGTTAATACGAGGGGATTGTTTCTTTTAACGTTAATATGCTGATGACGTTCGTTAAAAATTGAAAAATGGCGGACACAATTATCTTTCTGTTGAGAAGACATTAACTTTAATACAGAATACAAAAACAGTTGGATGCATTCTGTTGTTATTGTTTCAGATTAAAAGTTGTTTAAATGAATTGCAATTTGAATACCGACGACTATGATTTATTATTTGATAGATTTTTCAAAATGTAATATAATATTAGCCCTAAACATTGTCGCTAAAGACAACTTTCATAAATATTTCGAATCATTTAATTTTTTGTAAAATTTGTATTATGTTCCAGATCATTCGAAATCAATTAAGATGATTTTATTTTTCGAACAGTCCATATCATTACTTTCGATTGAACTTGTATTTGTATTGATGTCGAATATCTATCCTGTTCTATTTTGCAATAGAAACATAAAATTTTTCAAAACTGGCAACTGACATAGAAATTCGTTTTTTGTTTTGCTAGGCATGCGTTTTAAAACTCGATTTTAACTATTGACCATCTATAGCCAATCTATGACAATTCATAACTGCACATTGGTTATCATCGCTATGTATGAATTAGTCATGATAGTTTGGCTTTCATCTGGTACCAAATTAAATTTTGAAAACCAAGCATAAAGTCTGAAAGCTTATATCGGAATGCAAGCATTTTAAAACGCCATTACAGGATTGAATGCAAGAAATGAAATAACTCGATTTCCTAACTTCTTATTCTTTCGTGAAACCAAAGTTATTTTGGCTTCTAGCAAGTACAGTATTCAACCTTCATGTTGTTCTTTCTTTTTTATTGTGATGTGGTTTGGTACTTAATCTTATTTAAATAGTTAGACGAAATGGTATCGATGCCGATCGTGCCCCTCATGGGCAGTGAAGGTCGTTAGACACTCCCGTAGTATCGATGCATGAATAGCCTACTGGTAATGAACAGAATGCATTAAGAATACTTCAATACTTGACAAGACAGCGACATGTCCACCTATTGTTACCTAACACAAAAAGACAAAGATTATTTTTTTAATTAAACAAGACCATACCCGCGATATCGCGGGTCCGTGACTGAATTAAATAACCTACGCCTTATTTTTAGCCAGGATTTTTAGAATTCGTATTGCCATTTTGTAAAGTCACGCTGATTATAAGGTGCACAGTTATTCCCTGTATAATGACGAAGTTCAGGTGTGTTTAAAACCCGTGTTTATAGCAAGTCCTGAATACCCCGTTTGGTTGTGCGCCTGACAGAGGCGAAAAGTACAGATTAGGTTACAGGGATCAGGTAATTTTTGACATAAACTATTGGAATCGGTATCGGATTCGACCCGAAACTTGATAATTATTGGTAATATTAATTATGTGGAAAACAAAAGGGCCTGGAATGGTGTAATTTTTAATCTACACCATTGTCCTATATCATTTATATATAAAGTTAAATTCCGCGGGCAGTACGTCGACTGAGCATGCGCGAAAGCGTATAAGACACGGATCGATAACGGTCTCCGAATTTGGATATTTTCTCCAAATTGGCGTTTTCTGTGGAAAAAAGATTTTTCAAAGACAAAACGTCGTATCACAAATATTTCCGACTTTGTATGGGTTCAGAGGAGTTGCGGCTTAATGAAATCGGTCTCTTCCTGTAGGAGTATAGATATTATGCTGTGATAATCATCATAATCTGTATTGTGGTCGACTCTATAAAATACTATAATAACTTTTAGGGACGAAGTATTTTTTTTTTGCCTTTGCAGGTAAACGAAACAGTGAATAAAGCAATAAATTATAGTTTTTCATTTTCAAGACATTTGTATGTTATCTTAACACTTTACGAAAACACAGAAACAATTGAAATAAATCTTTAGAGATAATTGATATATATTTCTACATTTATTCAGCTGTGATCATATTCGGGGATGTATACAGTCCACGAATCAGCTTATAACAGGGGAGCATATAACTCCTATTACAGGTAAATACTTAGGATGAAGGAATTTGGGCATTTCCTTTTCAACTATTTGCAGTCTTATTTTAAGAAAAAATCTATTCTTTCGAATCATTAGAACCCATTATTAACTTGTAGATTTTAATTTTTCTATGATCATTGAGTTCAAATTTCAAGTTTTGTGACGTGCATCGTCCATCAAGATAAGCTTTTACTTCCTTGTCACTTAATAAGGTAAACAGACGTTCCTAAACGCATGCTTTCTTGAGTGATTGCTTTTAAAAAAAAACCAACTTCATAAGATGACTATGCCACATTTTCATTAAAGGATATTTCTTTAAAATTATATATCTACTGTTCCTAAATTATATAAATTAAAAATGGTAATTACAAATATCAACATTTCTTTATAAATAATAGATGGTTGGTATACGTCAGTGGTACAACATGTCAAGCTTTAAAAGTAGCATATACAAATTAAACAGAAACTACCCATGCTCTGTCATCAACACCAAATCTCAAGAACCGATTAACTTCTGTAGGTACAAAGCTTGTTTTGTAAACACTTGATCTATCCTTCCTCCTATACCTAGGTCTATTTATAAATGTAAAAAGAAAAGAGAGTCATTAGTTTGACTTATCAAACACCATTATATTTTATATGAAATCCCTTAAATGAAAGTAAAACAAAACCATTCTTTCAAAATTTCATGTTTTTGTATTGTTATTGTTTGTTATAGAGAAGACAGCAAAGGACTCTGCGAATGAAAATGAAGGTAAAATACTGTAATATAATAATTAGAAAATGTTATTGGCTATCTTCACACATTTGATATTGAATAAAATAAGAAAAGTGGTATATACAAATAAGACGGCAATGACATAAATGGTACACATTTTACTACGGCAGATACCCATTTCGATATTTAATGCATCTTCAGTGATGATCGATGTCAAAATATTTGAAATTCAAAACATATTACAAACGTTAAAGAGAAGATAACACAAAACAGGACATAAAGACAGTCAAAATCGGACAAGGAATTAGAGCTAACGCGAAATGATGCACAGTAAGGAAACAACATATATTTATGTACAATATGGCAATCTTAAAATCTCCACACGTCTAATATTTTTGGAAATAAAACATACAAAAACTATCAAATATTTACTATAAAATTCACACAACAAAAAACCTTAAGATAAGAAATAAGACCACGGCTGACGAGATGTATGACAGGCAAACGAACAAGTTCTGTGGTTAAACAAGTTTCTAAAATCTCAACACGGTAACCTATAATGATTACTTATAACGTCATTTGGTTTCTGTTGGATTGTCTTTGATAATCATACCACATTTTCTTATTTTTATATACTCTTGTTTTAATATCGACTTGAAAATTCAAATAATAGAACATGAAATAAAATTTGTAAAGGGTTCCGCAGAACACTGTGTCTCCCCTGCGACTGCTATTGTTAGTGTACAAGTGTAAAGGTGACTAAGTTGTGCAAAAATAACTACACCCATTTATCAGTAAAATACAAAAAAAATTATACGAATTGAGCTAAAGTTTGATCCGGGTCATTTTTCTTGATCATGTGGTAGTTTCACAGTGTGAGCAGAAAGTTGTTGAACCAGGGTTATGTCAAAGAGCGTCTCGTCCTTTTTCTGAAAAAGTTCATCGGAAGATACAAAGACCTTGTTGATATATTCCGTAGCAACTTCACAAATATTACATGACGGTCTTGCAGTATAGATTCTAGGTATTGACTTTGTTTACCATCTTAATACGAGTTATAGTGTACTAATATTTGTATTTGTAAATCATCAATCTTGACTGTTTAGTTCATTTTTGGTGATATTCTTTTGGCATGGCTCGGTACATGTACATCCCTCCATTGTGTTATTGTGCTATGGTCATTTTGTTTTGTATTCTTGTCTTTCAGTTTTGCTTGTGTTCTTTGTCTATATGCCGTTTTGGTTTTTGTTGTTGACATATTTGTTTGTTATTATAGTGATTTAGATTTGTTAACTGCTGTACTCCTATTTTTGAAATTTTTTCACTATTATGTCTGTTTGTTTTGCTCACACATTGTTGTCAATATAATGGAATTTTATGCGACTGTCATAGAAGTGAGAGGTTTAACTAACTATAAAACCAGACTTAATCTAACATTTTCTACATAAGGAAATGCCTGTACCAAGTCAGGAATAGGACAATTGTTTTCAATTCGTTTGATGTGTGTAAGCTTACTTTGCCATTTGATACGGGATTTTCCGTTTTGAATTTTCCTTGGAGTTCGGTATTTTTGTTATTTTGTTATTCAACTTTTTTTCTATCCAAATTTCATAAAATTCTATGAAGGCTTGACAAATTTATTTTAAGAATAAAATGTAAAAACAAATTCGCTTCACCCAGACTGTATATAAATGTAAGAGCAAAACAGTACATTTATTAATAAAATATATGAAGTCGTGCCGTCTTATACTCTAATATCGGTTGATGTACACCATAGAAGATTTCATACATCAAAGCCTGAATCAGTACAGCAGGACAGGGTAATATTTCGTGCTCATTTATATTCAATTTAACATTCAGAACATTTATTGGGGTTTTTGGTGGTGTTCGTGTTGCTTAGTCTAGTTATCTATGTTGCTTTTTGTAAATTGTCGTTTGTCTTTTTTCCTTTTTTGCCATGGCTTTGTCAGTTTAGTTTCAATGTCCCTATGGTATCTTTTACCTCTCTTTATCTAGCCTATAGGGTTAAGAAGAGAGGCGAAAGATTCATGTTAATTGTAAAATTAAACTAAACATGTAGAAGGGAAACGATCTCCATGATATATAAGTATATCAATGACTATTACAGCTGTTACGACTAGGTATATATCTCTTAGTTTGACATCGTAGTGTGTTATCATTTTTGGTTTATTTCAGTCTTATGCAGAATAATTAGTAATATAACTCAAATAAGGAAACCTTACGAAAATAAATGTATTAATATTTGTCAATAATCATAACATTACAATACAGAGAAATCCTAAATTTTTCAATTGTAATATTTCTTCACTGTAGTTGTGAAAATTTTGGAAATCTAATTACCATTTTTAGGTTTTCTGAACAAGGAGAGTGGTGTATATTTTGGTAGTTCTGGATTACTGGCATTCGTTATATGTATTTTAATGGCATATATCTGTTATAAAAAGGGTAAAAGAAAAGCTGGATCAAATATGTCTAAACAAACGCCTGATGAATTGGCAATGGAAGCAAAGTTTCAGGTTCATGGGACCAAAGGTGAGAAGAACACGAATGAAAATGATTATGACGAAATTGACGAACGGTACTTGTCCGATATTAAATTGGCAGTAAATCAAGAAAAAAATATCAAAGAAAAAGAATCATTTAAGCAAGGTGGAAACAAGCATTCGAAGAAAGAAAAAGGCAACAATGACAGTTCTGTTAACCCTTACCAAAGAGTTGTTTCTTCTGCAGTAGATGTTCATGCGTACTCATCCACAGAGAAGGGAGACAACTCGGAAGATAATTACAGGGATTCTGGATACCTCCATCCATATCAACCACTTTCACCGGATACTAAAAATCTTAAACACGACTATACTGAATGTAAAGATTTAGATATTGTTGAATCTAAAGCCACACCGGATACTAAAGATCTTAAACACGACTATACTGAATGTAAAGATATAGATATTGTCGAAGCTCCAACCAGTAATATTACAGAAGACGTAGTCGACAAAGATGGAGTGAAAGCAGAAGACACAAATTCATGTTCTCTTTAAACATGGAAATGAAACCGACTGCTTTATGAACAAAACTACATAAACTAGAAAAACCATATTTTCTCAAAATGAATGTGAAAGAACAACGTGTAAACAAATTAAAAAAATGTTTTCCATAAAAAATAACGTTTTATATCGCAGTCGCTTCTACGTCGGAACTGTGATAAATACATTTCAAAATCCAGCTAAATATTTATTGCAAATACCTGAAAACGAATTGAATGTATACGTCAGAAAGTCAACTTACCAAATATGTTACATAGGAAAGTAAAGAAAAACATAAAGAAAAATATTTTTCCTTAATTATTGCACCAGGGCCATATAATAAACGTTTTTCAAACTTCACTAAATATCAAAGTTTTGGTTGTTTTCTCTGGTACCAATTGTATGACTTATTCATTACAAAATATAAATTCTTAAAGACAGCTCAAACTGAGAATTTGATAGATTTTGGGAAATTTTTAGTGTTTAATCAAAACTATCTAGAAAGGACACTCTTACTCAAAATCCCAAATCGGTTGGAAGTGATTCTATAAATTGCTTTTCAGATATAAATGGAAAACATGCAGAATTTTCGACATGAAATCAAATTCGTATATTTAAAAGTAATTTGAAGTACGTAATTATCTTTAATGGAAATAATTAAATTGATGAAAGCATGTTTTAGTTTATGCTATAGACACGTTTTTTTTTTTTTTTTAAATTTATGGAAAATATGTAAATTATTCAAAACACATTTTAGTTATGATTAAAATTTCAGTTGGTGTGAACAGCTTTCTGATTTCGACCATACTAGCTTTGAATGAAACAAATACGGGGTAAATTGATCTCTCCTCTTTCAGGGTAGACATTCCTTGTACTTACCCCTATTATCAGAATCAAATAACAGTCCATGTCAGAATCAAATAATAGTCCATGTCAGAATCAAATAACAGTCCAGATCAGATTCCGGTTGGTAGCTGCCCTCTGCAGGTCTTTTTTGTCTGTTTTACTTTTACGATCTACTAGAATACACCCGCGACATCGCGGGTTCGTGACTGAATTAAAGTACCTACGCCTTATTTTTAGTCTGGATTTTTAGTATTTGTATAGTCATCTGATAAAGTCATGCATCTGGTAAAGTTATAAGGTGCACAGCTTTCTCTGCTTTCGAAATCTTTCTGTTTGAACCCGTCGACCCGGAACTTGTTAGTTATTGGTAATATTAATTATGTGGAAAACAACAGAGCCTGAACTGGTGTAATTTTTAATCAGCACCATTGTCCTATATTTTATATATATATATATACAGTTGAATTATTTGATTCGTCGTTTTTACGTCAAGCCGGCTAACAAATTGGAAATAACCTAGGCCTTATTTTTAGTCTAGATTTCAGGAAAATGGCCATTGTTATATTATAGTTCGTTTCTGTGTGTGTTACATTTTAATGTTGTGTTTCTGTTGTGTCGTAGTTCTCCTCTTACATTTGATGTGTTTCCCTCAGTTTTAGTTTGTAACCCAGATTTGTTTTTTTCTCAATCGATTTATGAGTTTCGAATAGCGGTATACTACTATTGCCTTTATTTTTAAAGTATTCATATTGTCATAAATTCATAATAAATGATAAATTCATGCTGAATATAAGGTGCACAGTTTTCTCGGCCTTTAAAATCTTTCTGTTTGAACCCGTCTTGTTTTTCTTACTACAACCGGATACATGTGACATATACTATTGGTATCGGTATCGGATTTGACCCGGAACTTCTTGGTAATATTAATTATGTGGAAAACAAAAGGGCCTGGAATGGTGTAATCTTTAATCATTACCATTGTTCTATATTAGTTATATATAAAATTGAATTCTTTGATTCGTCGTTTTTACGTCATGCTGGCTAACAAATTGGACCTCGTCATTTTAGTAGTATAGTTAGTCAGTATAATCCAAGTTGGGACTTGTTGCACATACACCTAGTTTTACCCCATCACATGTTGTGCCGGTATCAAATCTGAGGCTATCTCAACCATATGTAGTTCGGTGTTGTTTTTTTTTTCGGAGGAGAAACGGATAAAAGTAGAAACGATTATAGTTTAAAATGTAATAACAAAAATATTGAACTCCAAGGTAAATTCAAAAGGGGAAGTCCATAAAACAGAACACACCAAACGTTCGACTATATCAACAACGGAACGACTGGAATACAAATGTCATATTTCTGACTTGGAAAATGCACTTTCCTAAGAAAATAAACGATTAAACCCGCTTTTATAGCTAGCTAAACCTCTAACTTGTATGACATGTGTACGAAATTCCGTCGTATTGACAAAATTGAGTGATATGAATAACCCAAACAGACATATACCGTAAATTGAGATACGATCCGGGTAAACTTATCAATTCTTTAGATAAATGAATTCTAAAAGTTACAACTTTTACCCTGTTATATGATCTTTGAATATTGTTTTTTATCGGTATAAATATTGATTTTGTTATCCAGAGATTAAAACCTAACTAAGAAGTATTGCTACACCCATGAACATTCACCGTCCTACAATCTGTCGATACCTATATTTTGATATTGCAAAAAATCATGTTTTTTTTCTGACTGTTAATAGCGTCTTTACACTTAATCCGTTGGACGTTGGATGCGTACTAATTGATATTTAAGTCTTAGATATATTATTTGTTAATTAGTTGTTATGGACTTTGAACTAGATTTCAGTAACTGCGAGTACTATCAGATCTTTACTTTTGTACTTTGTATCGATCTGACGTGCTGCGCCCTTTTCAACTGATTTTAATATATTGTTCTTATGTTGTCCTGTTACATGTACAACATGTACAACTGTCTCATGTTAGTGAGAGGTTTGTGCGCCCGCAAAGCAAACAAATTTCACCCCGCCACATTCTGTATGTCCCTGTCCGAAGTCAGGAACCTACAATTCAGTGGTTGTCGTTTGTTCCTGTTTATCTTTGTTTTATACATAAATCAGGCTGTTAGTTTTCTCGTTTGATTTGTTTTAAATTTGTCATTTCGGGACCTTCATTATGTTGCTATGCAATATGGGTTTTGCTTTATGTTGAAGGTCGTATGGTGACCTATATTTGTTACATTCTACGTCATTTGGTCTCTTGTGGAGCGCTGTCTCATTGCCAATCATACCACCTCTTCTTATTTTTGTAATACTTGGTTAACGTGACAACCGTTCATCTTCTATTGACAGCTATCCTATTCATTTTCTATTGTTATATACTGTACTCGATTAGAATATTGTCTTTGTCATGTTTGGAATGACAGTATTTCAATTTCAACACATATTCTTTTAGCATATGGTATAAGGTTTATTTAGGTTTGCAGCTAGTTGAGTCGAGTAAACTAGTTGGATTACAGTGTCCCTTGAAAAATCACCGAACACATACTTGTGACGGACTACATTTGAAACCAAAGATATGAATATGATCATGAATAAAAAACGATAGGCACTACTATTTAAAAAAGACAAAGACAAAGACATGAAGGTGGTAGAAAAATGATAGTGATCCACCTACATGTATCTAAATTCTGTATTAGGGTTAATTTTTTTAACGCCAGACGCGCGTTTCATCTACAAAAGATTCATCAGTGACGCTCGAATCAAAACAGTTAAAAAAAGCCAAATTACATTGTTATGAAACACACATAGATTTGTTTTTTTTATGTGTTTGTTGTAGCATTTCAATCACAGAATGTTTCCGTTTCATTTATTTCCTCATAAAATCATGATGGTGTGGCGTTGTTGTCTGAGTTTCTTTGTGTCATTGGCATTATTTAATGGTCATTTTGCAGATGTTTGTAGCAGACACAAAAGGTACTTCTTATGATTTATCAATAGTAAATCCCATCACGTAAAAAGTAATAACATATCTTGAAAATTATAAAGATACTTTTTGAAGTTATTCAAACTTTGGAACAAGTTTCCAAATGGTACGTACATCAGACATAATTCAGAAGTGTTTGTACCTGAATTTGATACTGTATTATATATTGCTATCTAGTTATTAACAATTTAGGTCCAATATCCTGTCAATACCTACATGTATATTTTAGCATTGCAAACGAATATGCTTTTCGGACTCCTAATGACGTCTTTACACAAAATCCGTTTGATGTGTACTGATTGAGAATTTCCTCTGGAAACAATGGTATATTTATTGGATTAAAATCGAGACAGTTGACTAGCTTTCAATAACTGCAAGTCCTCTTAGTTCAATTCTTGTGCTGATACACCATTGTTTATATAATGATTGGTGCGTTGACCGCCCACAAACATGTTTAACGTGCCTGTTCCTAACCAGGAGCCTGTATTCAAGTGGTTTTTTTTGATTGATGTTTTTCATAATATTTTCGTTTTACTATATTAGCACAATGCAGGTCATTAGTTATTTCTTTAAAATTGCTTCAGAATTTTCTATCTTGGGAGAGGGGACCTTTTATACAAATATAGCTTGCTATATAAAAAGGGTTTTGATCAATGTTGAAGGTTGTCCTGGAACCTACAGTTGATTACACCCTTGTAATATGGTTCCTTGGTTGATATTTGACTCATTTCCATTTATAGCTAATTTACCGATGTTTATACTAAAGAATCGACGGATACACATGCACGTACAAATCAAATTAATATCCGGAATCAATCGATGATATCAATAATGTTATAATTTCCTTTTAATAAACTGATTGAAGGACATCTAGTTAACATACATAAATTCTGTAACTGTTCCAACAGCTCTTTATACTATCGCTTTCGTGAATGAAATTGGTTTATCGTTTATGAAAAGATAGTGTTTCCTGAGGAAGGACTTTTAATGAGTAAATACGGAAAACGAAATTTAACCAAAGCATCGTCGGTGCTGTGATCAAGCCAATTATTTAGCTAGTTAGAAATTTTATTCTCATCTTATTCTCAATATTTTTTTCTTTATATCAACTCATGTAAAACATTCAGGACTTGGGCGAAGAGATTTTGGCCAAAAATGTAAATTTGTGTTTGGACAAAATTTCTATTTCAAAAATGAGAGAAAAGATACCAAGGGACAATCTGAAATCATAATTCTAATAACAAAAGACAACACAAGGATTGAAATGTAGAACGTCATTTTCATTATCATTTTCCTAAAACAATTACCAGAGTTTTTTTCCATTTTAAAATCACCCCTTTTAGCTCATGAAATTATGAGAAAAAAAAATTATTACCTTTAAAGTACTTCTATATAAGAATAAGGAGATGTGGTTTGATTGCAAATTAGACAACTATCCACCAAAGTTCAAATAAAGTGGATGTAAGCAATTATAGGCAACAGTACGGCCTTCAACAATGAGAAAAACCCATACCCTATAGTCGGCTATAAAAGGCCCCGACATGAAAAATGTGAAACAATTCAATTGAGAAAACTAAAGGCCTAATTTATAACAAAACAATTTATGGAAAACAAATATGACAGACATGAACCAACGCCAAACACTGAACTACAGGCTCTGGACTATGGACAGACACATAAAGAATTTGGTGGGGTTAAACATGTTTGTGATAGCTCAACCCTTCCCCCTAACCCGGAACAGTCGTGTTACAGCACAACATAAGAACACACTTAAAAAATCAGTTGAAAAGGGCTTACTCATCAGATGGATTCAAAGCAGAAAAGACATCTAACAAAAACACAGACCGGACGTGGCAACGTATTTATACATCCCTAACAACAAAAGACCCAACGTACAGACCTTAGAGTATTCGCAGTTACTGACAGCTAGTTCAAAGTCGATAACAACTAATAAAAAAATCATATATTTAAGACTAAAATATCAATCAGTAAACATCCAACATCCGATGGATTTAGTGTAAAGACGTCATTAACAGTCAGAGAAATACATGACTTTGTGCAATACCAAAATATAGGTATCGACAGATTGTTGTACCGTGAAAGTGCCTATGTGTATAACAATAATATTTAGTACGGTTTTAATTTACTGATCACAAAATAAATATTGACACCAATAAAAACAATATTCAAAGATCTAATTACAGTATTGAATTGGTAATCTTTTAGAATAAGTTTATTTCAAGAATTGATAAGTTTACCCGGATCGTTTCTAAATTTTCGGGCTCGGTAAACAACATCACGGTAAAAATTTAGGATGTGCTATTCCGTTTGCAAACCAAATCTTTTAAAGGTTTTAACAAATTTGTGGTAACGAAATCCCTGACTACCAGTAATACATAGATTACGCTCTTTCAAATCCAAAACGACACTACAGACACGGGCATAGTGAACGAGCTTGAATTGAAATCACTCATTAAAATCCATCACGTCACTACAGACACGGGATAAGAGAACGAGTTGGGATTTAAATCACCAATTGAAAGTCAGGAAGAGTTGTACGCATATATTTATATCATATTGTCAGATATCTTTGTAAACAAAAATAGTTCTGATGTATTAGTATTGCATAATGTTCAGAAACACAATCATTTTTTTTTGTTTTGATACAACAATATAAAAATAAGGAGATGTAGTATGAGTGCCAATGAGACAACTATCCACTCAAGTTCAAATGAAGTGGACATAAGCAATTATAGGCAACCGTACGGCCTTCAACAATGAGAAAAAACCAATACCGTAAAGTCGGCTATAAAAGGCCCCGACATGAAAAATATGAAAACTAACGGCCTACTTTATAAGAAAACAATTTACGAAAATCAAATATGAAACACATGAACCAACTTGCTTGTCTTGTTTTTATATGAATTATATGACACTGAAGATAAATGATTTATAATGTTCTCTTACTAAATGATTCAAAATTTGGTGACTATGTTGAACGCATTTATCCAATCGAACTTGAGATAAAGGATACACCAGATACAGTTAAGTCTGCCTCATATCTTGACTTACATTTAGAAATTGATAATGAGTGTCGGTTGATAACAAAACTTTCCGACAAAACAGATGATTGCAGTTTCCAAATTATGAACTGTCCTTTTCTATACAGCAACATCCCAGCAGCGCCTGCATACGGATTATATATCCCCCAATTGATACGATACCCCAGAGCTTGTTTTTTCTATCATAATTTCCTTGAAACAGGGTTGCTGCTCACAAGGAAGCTATTAAACCAATAGTTCCAAGTGGTAAAGTTGAAATCATTTCTTCGTAAATTTTACGGACGCCATCACAAGTTGGTTGATCGTTATAGAATATCTGTTTCAAATGTGACGACGGATACGTTCAAATTGTCGTAACTACAATCCCGTTGCCTTTCTCCCAAATGTGATCTACCGAATTAGACTTATTACCGGGTTTGTACTAACATGGGCAACACGACAAGTTCCAAAGGATCTGCTTTCTCTTCCGGAGCAGCTGAGATGACACAAGGGGTTTGGTGGGGTTCGTGTTGCTCCGTCTTTAGTTTTCCATTTTGTGTTTTGTTTACTATTGTTTGTGGGTTGGTCTTTTTTCTTTTTTAGGCATGGCATTGTCGCTTTATTTTCGACTTATGAGTTCGAATGTCCCTTTGGAATCTTTCGCCTTTTTCATTTCCATAATCTTCTTATCAAGTTTTTTGCATGTAAGGGTACAGTATATTTCTAAATATATTTATGAATGACTACAGTGTGTATATTTACAACATAAATTTTGAAAAACATTGAAACAAAAAGCTTCCAAATTTTTATAAAGTTGATGTAAAATGACGGTGGGCACGGATACCAAAAAAACGAGCTACGTTCGAAGATGGTCATGATACCATTTGACTTCAATTTCTAAAACAGAATGATTAAGTATTAAAAATAACTGTTTTGTCCAGGTTTATATTATGAAAAGTGATAAATTTAGACATGTTAGTATTGTCGCCTAGAAGAATAAATACTTCCGTTTCCCTTATTTTCCTTGCTTCCAACTGAATCTGCTCTAGATTATCAGAATCTGAATAGGTCGTGGTTTAGTTTAAAAAGTTTACTTCGATGGTAACAGCTTAAATTTTATATATGTTTATCAAGATGTCTGCTTCATTGCAGATACTTTAAACAGTTTATTGTGGATACTTCGTATTGTTAAGTGAAAAATTGAGAAAATATCAACGGAAGGACTAAGATAAATCTCTTTATCATTTTTGTTTAGCATTATCACTTTATAAAATCAAATATGTTGACATTGTTGACATTGTTGACAATATAAATAGATCAAGATATATATAGAAAAGCAAACCGATGCAAAATATTTATATGTCGTGATAAACAAGAACGGTTCTAATAAATAATGTATATATTTTTTTATACGATTAAACATTCTACTATAGAATATCGAATTAATTTTACAGCAGAATTGACCAATCGACGAATAATAAGCTTGTGACAAATTTAATTTTACAAGAAGTCAAAAGGTCAAGTAAATAACTGAAAATTTAAACCCTCTAGCATCAGATCAGTCAAAATTTATACAATAATAGTCAAAAGATAAATGATTAAAAATAATGAATGAATAGATATTCAAGGAAAAGAAAACGGAGCAAGTGAATACTAAATAGATTGTTGACAGAATGAACAAAACAATACTCTGTTATAATATTTTTTATCGTTCCCAACATATCTCAAAAAACAATATTTTTACTCTGCTACAGTTTATGTAACCCTGACATTATGATCGTTCTACTGATATAAGGTAAAATGAACATATGAAAATGAAATAAAACCTGATCTACTTCATTTCCTTTTGAATGGTATCGTTTTAAACCTACACTGAGTACCTAATGTCACTCTAAATAAGTTTTGATTTTATTATTGTAAACTACATTTAAGTGTTCACAAAAAAATGAAAAACGAGATACTAAATTTTGCCGATGTAAAAGCATATAACTCATATGGTGTCACATTCATGAATAAAATTTTCATAAAATATAAGATACGATATAACTTGTAGGAAAGGCACCGTTTTGAAGATCCAATATTACTGCTGCTCAAACTACGTCTTAAAAGGAGGAACATGTGAAGGTATGTGCCTCATTTTAGATGTGCCTTTGTATGACGGTTACCAAATATCTTCCTTTTAGACAGACAGACAGACAGACAGACAGATGTCTCCATAAATACCTGCATACCTACATATTAACCAGACAGACAGATAGCTCCATACATATCTGCATACCTACATACAAACATTTTCGTTGATAAGTTTTGAAAAACAAATATGGATTTTCTTTTAGAGCATATGTCGTCTTAAAATCTACATGTATACTTGTATCAAGTTTTATGTTCTTTTTTTGTTTGGCAATACAATACGATTTAAAAAATTAAGGAAATATTGTTTTGATGAATTCCCGTCATACACAAGTAGCTGTGTTTTGAGTTTTACGATTGTAAAAGGAAAATTGTTTTGACCTAATAACTACAACAACTAGAGCATATGTCGTCTAAAAATCTACATGTATACTTATCAAGTTTTATGTTCTTTTAGAAGTTTGGCAATACAATGCGATTTAAAAAATTAAGGAAATATTGTTTTGATGAATTCCTGTCATACACAAGTAGCTGTGTTTTGAGTTTTACGATTGTAAAAGGAAATTGTTTTGACCTAACGACTACAATAACTATATCTGCACGCTCATTGTTTTGTAAGATCAATTTTATTGAAATAGAAAAATGTATGTTTGATACGAATTCTTATGGCGTCTGCATTGGGATGATGAATTTATGCAAATGTTGGCCTAATCTCAGAAAAACGGTTTGTAGAAACATTATTTAGTGCATATTGACAGTGTACATTATTTTTTTATTCGACAAAACAATACAATATCGTTTTCTAAGAATTGTTTCTCTATAATATTAAGATTAAAGTAACTCATTATGTTTTAGACTTTTAAAGTTACCTTTTACTTTTTAAGTTCGATAATTTATAATTAGCAGTGACGTAGTTTTGTGTCTTCATATCATATACATATGTATGATCCAAGGTTCAGGGTGATGAGGATGCACTAGTACTTAGGGTCTTAGGGTCAGATCACAATTCCACCTACGTGATCTCAGTAGAGTTATCTTATTTACTACTTATATATGTAAATTTGTAAAATATGATTGTGAAACAGTACTGGAAGAAATATGCATTTAGATAGACTATTTGTGTTTGGGTTTTAGAATGTCCAGTCGGCTTTACTACTCATCCTGAGGAAGCAGTATGTAAGCCATGTTCGTCAAACTTTTTCGGATACAGATGCATAGAAAAATGTTCCTGTAAAGAAAAAGAGAGGTATATTTAAAAGAAACACAAACATCTGCATCACAGTGAACTGATGTGTTATTTTATCATCTGTGTTCAATATGTATTTATGTTTGCATCTGTTAGTTTCTGTGTGTAAAATATGTTGAATAAATCATACCTTACATAAAACCGAATGTATTTATTCCGATATCGTCAGGTGTATCGATCCGAGGGAAGGGGGTATTGTGACATGTGATTGTCCTGGTTGTTTCTTGATGTGAACTACCACATTTGATAAAACGTCTGCGAATAAAAATCATACATTAAAGATAAATGAACATATCACTTTATCAATTTCGCACACTCGAAAGCGCTTTTCCTTCATCCAATGCGCTCAAACACAAAAATTCATGGATATTTAAATAGCATCTGAATGCGTGTGGAGCAATATATGACCAACAGGTGTCTCGAAAGAATAGCTAAATTCACCTGAGGCTAAATTTGACATAAGTAGTTTGAACCTTAGTTTCTTAATAATTTCTTTATTTTTTAACGGATAAATTATGATTAGTGTGTTATCAACTATGTCATCACCGCAGCACTCATGTCTGAGTACTGATCTGTTGGTACCTCTGGGAATAACAGTTCACCAGCAGTTGTATTCAAATTTCGTACGTTTGAAGCGCTTTGTCTGGATTTCCTTTCACCAGGAACGCTCAAACAGAAACATTTGAAAGTCAATGATGTATTAACATGGTTTAAAAACGATTAGGTAAAAGAACTGATTAATTTATGATAAAGATACGTACATCCTTGTTATTAAAATTTATTTTATTTATTTTATATGCATCAATATAGTAATTCCATGCTGAAATCAAGCTCACAGAACTTAATCTGCTGATATGAAATAATGCTATCATAAATTACAAAATTTGAAATAAATGTAAACGCCTGATGTTTGACAATATTACAGGTGTAAGTTTAATATCGCGTTAAATTATGTGTCAAACAGAGAAAATTTTCAATCACTTGTTTAATTTCTTGTTATCAATTTATTAAGCTGTAATCACATTGATGGGTGTGTAAGAGATGAAACTGATCAACATCATACAACAGAACCCACTACTCCAACTACAGGTAAAATATAAAAAAATAAATATTAGTGTTATTAGTTATTTTTTAGTCTAGGTAAAGTCTAATCCTATCGACGAACCCGGTCTCTATCCTTTTGGACTTTAAGCCATTTTCTTAGTTATTGTTTGGTACTTTGACTTGTATTTTAAATCAACTTTTGAGATTTGAAAATTGTTAAACTACTCCCCTATTTTATAGCTGTAAAACGTTGTATATATGAAGTTCAGTAAGTTTTAAGCGAGCTTTCAAAAACTGGTTCAAGACCCAAATAACCAAAGCGAAAATAAAATCTTCTTTATTGAAAAATAACAAAACATAAAAGGGGTAACAGGAATCGTAAACAATACAACACAGACCCCAATCAAAATTATTGCATGAACATTGCATGAAAAATGAATTTGAACCTTGTGTATAATATCTGTACAAATTTATTTTCAGTGTTTTCAGTGTTTCCAAACAAGGAAAGTATAATTTATATCGGAAGTATAGGTCTGATGGCATTTATTATTTGTAGCTTGATAGCATACATTTGTTATAAAAAGAATGGAAAAAAGAAATCATTTGACAAAAATAAATCAAATGAAAATCCTCATGAAAACTGGCACAATGAACATAAGAACACAGATGAAAATGAATATGCAGAGATTGAGGAGACATTCTTATACAACATCAAAACTGCGACAAGGGGAGTAAAGGTCAAGGACAAGGAAGTAAATAATGATAGGAATCATTTGAACAACGATGATTTCATGAATGGTTATTTAAATCCGTTCCAACCAATCAAATCTACAGAGGTGGATGTTCATCAATATAGCTCCACAATGAACGATGGGGACAATGCAACCACTCCAGCTGATAACCAAGGGGATTGCGGATGAATCCCTATCAACCAATCATATCTACAGTGATGGATGTTCATCAATATAGCTCCACAGTGAACGATGGGGACAATGCAACAACTTCAGTTGATAACCAAAGTGATTCCGGATACCTAAATCCACATCAATCACTAACACTGGACACTCTAGAGAATTAACATGTCTATAATGAATTGAAATCAAGGATTACCAAAAAAGACACAGAAATACAAAAATTCATCACGAAAGATGGAGAGGATGAATCTGATTGCGAAGATGAATGCTTATTGACGAATATTTAACAGATTTTCCCTTTCTTTTTGAGATACTATGACCCGTCTCTTAGATGCATGCTTTTTAAATAACTTTTTAAAAATTGTGTGAAATTGAGTTATTTGTCACATTGGTACTTTTGAATTAAAACTCAGTTTAGAGACATTTTTGTGCTAACAAGTTTGCAGTATTTTTTAAAAATTTTATTCATTTTATATGTAATGATCTGTAGACGCAAAATGATAATAGGATCATGGAAAGAAAGTCAAAATTGAAAAATTATTTCAAGAATATTTAATCAATGGACAACGTGTGTGTTCAATAACTCATATCAGCAATATTAAGACAAGAAACACAAAATAATAAAAACTTCCTAAAAGTCACGTTCACGTGCCTATCTGTACCCAACCGGAACACCTGTATGCACCTATTTGTTTTTAGGGGTTCGTGTTGCCCAATCTTAAGTTTCGCTGTAGTGTTTTGTAGTGTTTTATTTCCTTTTGGTCATGGTGTTATCGGTATTTATTCGACTAATGATATATGATTGGCCCCTTGGTATCTGTACCTTTTATTTAAGACATTTTTTGATTTTTTCTTTATAATCATTAATAATAATTATTTCAGTTCTCCTAAAACATAGAAAGAATAGACTATTGGTCTTGTACTGTTGACAATGTTTGACAGTTTCCCGTTCAGTGTCATTTTGTGATCGTCGTTAACTTTTACATTTTTTTGTTGTTTATCGCCATTTCCTTGATGATGTGGTATATTTTATTGATTTCAATCGAGATCATTTAGATTTTAGAACTATAGACTTTAGGTTCAATCATTATTCATTTGTTTTAGGATTAATATGACGCGGTTTATCTATTCTCTTTATTTCCTCATCAATTCAAGATGGATTGGCGTTGTATGCTGTCTCTCTATTTACTAATACTATCATTCAAAAACATTTCTGCAAAGGTTTGTAGAAAAGAAATAAGGTAATTCTTATAATTTATTCAAAGTTAAGCGTATTTGTCATTTGCATTTTATGTACTGATAAATTCAGACATGGATGAAAAAGAGCTTCATATACTTCTGTCAACGAAAATCCGCAGGATATCCAGGATAAAAACTTAGTCAACCGAGTAGACAGTTTACATCAGCCCAATACACTATAATCATAGAAATGTATATTTTATATCTACATATAGGCTTAAGGTTTAAGGTAATATGGCAGGTAGGATGTCAAGAATGCCATAATCCAAACTGAATTCTTCAAAATAAATTGATGATTTGCTTTGGTGAATAAAAAGGGAAAAACAGATTAAAAGTTCCTTTAAATGGTGAGAAGTTATGGTTATGCATCTCTACATATTTTCACGAGTAAACACGTATAGATAAAAAGACTTTGCTTTGTTTCACTGTGAATTCTTCTCAACAAAGTAAACTAATTTGATACAATTATATAATATTTTTATATTCACAGGAAAAGAAATATTTGCCGTTTTACTTAAAATTTAAGTATCAAAATTAAATATAGGAAAGAGCAGAAAGCTGATGAACCAGGGTTATTTCAAAGAACGTCTCGTCTTTTTTTTCTAAAACAGTTCATCGGAAGATACCAAGACCTTAAGCTTGTTGATAAATATTCCGTATCAACGTCACAAATAATACATGATTGTCTTGAAGTATAGATTCTAGATACTGACTTTGTTTATCATCATAATTTCGTGTTATAGTTTTTTATTTGTCTTTGTATATTTTACCTTTACTGTTTAGTCCATTTTTGTTAATGTTCTTTTGGCTTGGCTCGGTATTTATACATCCCGCCCATCTGTTATTGTTCTATGGTCATTTTTGTATTCTTGTCATTCATTTTTGCTTATGTGCTTTGTCTATAGAGTGTCTTCATGCCATTTTGTTTTTCTTTGTTGACATAGTTGTTTCTTTTTATAGCGATTAAGATTATAACACAATGTTGACTGCTGTACCCCAATTTTTGACATTTGTTCCTATTATGTCTATTTGTTTGCTCACACATTGTTGTCAATATAATGGAATTGTATGCGACTGTCATACAAGTGAGAAATTTAGCTAGCTATAAAACCAGGTTTAATCCACCATTTTATACATAAGGAAATGCCTGTACCAAGTCAGGAATATGATAGTTGTTTTCCATTCGTTTGATGTGTTAGAGCTTTTGATTTTGCCATTTGTTAAGGGACTTTCCGTTTTGAATTTTCCTTGGAGTTCGGTATTTTTGTTAATTTGACTTTTTTATGCCACTGTGATACAGTAGGACAAAGGGAAGTCGAGAATTATTTTTATTCTTGCATTGAAGTTAAAATGGTCAATAAAGTTTTTTTTTAAATCAATAATCAAACTCTTAAGTTCAAGCCGAGTCCACATTTATGATAGAGTATCATCAGCTCAATAGTCTGTACTTCGGTACTGATATGATTTATAACAAACCTTTCTTAAATTGTCCGTTTATAAATTATTGAGAAAACTACGGTTTCAACTCCCTCAGGCAAAGTTGACCTTACATGGATTTGGATATCATTTTAGGTCTTTTTTGGTCATATAGCCCTTTATCTGCTTCGGTTCTTATACATGTATTTCAACTCGGGAGATTTTTAAAACCTGTCAACAAATAGGGCTACAGGAATGATATACTATTGTAGTGAAAATGGTTCTTTCTACCGTGTTTTGAGATTTTAAATAATTACTTGTTTCTTACAAATACTACACATTTCAGTGAAAGTTTATGATTACACCTGTTAGGAGAGTTGTTTCAGTTTTTTTTTCTTGAGGGACGGTATCCAACCAACAGCTGTAATTACCTTAATAGTCTCGTGCAGTACCGAACACATTTTGAACATGCTTTCTCAATTATGTGCCGTGGTTTTTATTTTCTTGTTCAAGTTAGTGATCACCTTTTTGGTAGCTATATAAACTCTTGATAGGCAAACGGGTAAAGTTTGTGTGCACGAAAAATTTGTATAGTCTTATCATGTTATTTATGTTATTAGCCTTTACCAAGTCAGCTAATAGGACCATGCGTTGTTCAGTGTAGTAAACATACTTATTTTTAAGAGTTGTTGTATGTGGTTGATGTGATCTGTTGTACACTGCAGTGTTTTTGATAATTTCTGTTACCGCCTTTTGTGTACTGCCAAACCTTTAATCGCCCCTGGTCTATATAACGCTAAATGTTTCGAAAAAAAATTTTCATAGCAACTTAGAAATATAAAAACCAACCCAAAAACATACCAAACATTGACATGATTATGACTAGAACTGAGAATGGAACCGGGGAACGTGTCAAAGAGATACAACAACCCGGGCTTCAGTTGTATATTAACAGGTATTGCTCCATTGTCAGCGAAATGCAATATAAAGATCAATTATATAAAGATTATTTGTCAAAATACATAATGCATTTTCTAGTCATGAGTATGATTTTGTTGTCGGCAAATTTAAAAAAAATACAAGTATGGATAGTTATAATATAATATTTCACAATTTAAAATTTTGATCTAAGAGAAAAAAAAAATAGATAAAAATACAGTAATTCACCAATGAGACTAGAACTTAGTCAAACTTATTTACGGAAAGATTGATATAACACATATGTGTTGTTTCAACAATAATCCAGGGGCAGCCAAAAGTGCACAATATCTCTTTTGAATAATGTAACTTAAAGATATACCAATCTAACCGCTTTTCTAAACTTGTAAAAAGGTAAGTCGATGGGCAATCCGAAACGTTGAGTTCTAGAGTGGATTGACGAATAAAGACAGTCACTTCTGCAAAAATGAAGTATTCATGATTTTAGTAGTTTCTTAACATTCCATTTTACTGAGAATATAGCAATGAATAGTTATGATATTGATTGCAGGATACTTGGGAAGACAAAAACATTTTACCATTGTTGTCGAGCTTTGGATTTATTGAAAAGAAAATGTGAAGGTATGCACCATCGTAAATTTTCTTTTTTTTATAATGAATATCAAAGTCAGCAAATATCATGGGACAAGGGATCATATCTTAAACTTCCTAAATTGATATAATGAATTTTATTAGTTAAAGACAATATAGATCAACGAATTAAGATCGTATCAATTTTATAGTACGATCTCTTATCTATGGTGGAAGATTGAGACAATGCAAGAATTTTCCCACACCATAATATATTGTTCCAACTGAATAATATCCTGTACCTATCAGAAGATTTGTTTGATCCTATAAGATGACAACTTGTTCCCACAAGATAATATCCTGTACAAACAAGATATAATCTTGTTCCAACAAAATAATATTCTGTACCCGGAAGATGGTTTCGTGTTCCCACAAGATAATATTCGTTCCGACAAAATAATATCATATACCTACAAGAAGGTTTGCTTGTTCCCACAAGATAATATTCTGTAACCACAAGAGGGTTTCGTGTAACAATAACATACTGTTTTCACATTTCTCATGAGAATGCTTTCTCAAAGGTCCATTTCTTACTAACTTCGAATGACCACGAGATTTTATCATTAGTTTTTATGATAAGAACCGAAGAACTCAGAATGCTATTTTCACGCAATATTATCATTTTCATGATTACACAGAACTGAGTGTTCCTGGCTTTTCATTTATAAAATAACAGCGGGAGGTAATTCCGTTCTCTTTTTTTCTTATGTAGTATAATTTTTCAAAAGGATGTTATTCAATTATTTTGGGGTGGTAATGGTTAAGGTTAGAGTGACTTTGAATTCTATTTTCATATGAGTCTTGTTTGCACTCTATTTACATGAGGTATTTTTGTCATGATTCTCAACTGATCCAGTCAGAAGATAGCTCATTTAAACTTTTAAGTGCCTTACTGCTGCTGCTGGTCCTGGCGTCTCAAGATATACTTAAGTTAATATCATACTGTTCCCATGCTGCTCCAGTTGTGCTCAATTCACTTGTTTTGTGTTTCTTGCTTTTTCTGCTACTGCTCGAAGGTGAATACTGCTGCTGCTATTGCTCGAGGGTTTGCTGAATTTGTTTTGTGTAAATGAAGAATAAAAAATGTTGAGTAGTATTGTTTAGCGAGGAGCAATGGTAAATAAATGGTAAGGGATGTCATAGTTCTGGTAACATTTAACTTAAAATATACAAATAAAGCGAAAACAGTGAGATAGAACCTATAATGATCTATGAGTTACAGTCAGAATCCGAGTCACCACACCCCTTACTATTAATTCATGACGCTACTTATTTTTATTCCACACTTTTTATATGCCATTTACAAAAGAAAGAAAAAGTGAGCATCAGCAGAAAAAAAGCCCCCCTCTCCAAAATAAAAAAATAAAAAATAAATAAATAAAAATGATCGGTTGGAACAAACAAGAATCATAATGAAACTTAATTCCATCCTGAGGCATCAGAACCACCAGCAACAGAAATATCGCATCCTCAAGCAGTAGCATCAGGGACAGAACATCCAGACAAAAGGGTTAAGATCACACTTTATTGACTGGAGAAGCTGAGAATCATAATGGCAAAAAGAGAGGCGGAAGATACCAATGGGAGAATAAAAAATCATAAGTCGAAGAGACAGATCATTAGGTCAAAATAAATTCGAACCACAGAACTACA